CGCATTTGCGTACCGACGTACTTGTGAAGCTTTTCCAGAAGGCGGTTGGATCACCGGACGACAGAGTCGGTCTCCGTGTGCACAGACAGGGCTGCTGTTAACGTCGGTCTGTACAACGGAATTGTGCCAAAACCACGCCAACCGGCTGCGGAGGGAGACTCCCCCCCCCTTCACTGGAGAACTGCGCTAAAACAGCTGATCACAACGTTCACACTCTGTGGTCATGAAGTACTCCACTAGCCGCCCCCCCCTCTGTCGACTTTCCTGAAGTACTCCCCCGTTGATAGAAATCAACACGTAATGAATTAAGACCCCACGGTTTGATGATTGATAGGTGTGTGGGTTGTCTTTCATTTTGACACGCAGAAAAATGTTATAATAAACATAGATACTGTATGTTAAATGGATATATCCGCCTTCTTTCATTTATCTTTCCATTCCCACAACAATATACATAACTAAATGGCATATTTTGGACATAGTTCGAATGGTGATTAATCATGATTAATTAATTTTTAAGCTGTGATTAATCTGATTAAAATTTTTAATCGTTTGACAGCCCTAATATATATATATATATATTATATATATATATTTTATATATATATATATATATATATATATATATATGAAATGAGGCTGGGAACACTCTTTTATACGGCATGTTATTACCTCAATTCAAATATTGGATATCTGTAAGGCTTTTAACAGAAAATGAATCTTAACAGTGGTTGTCTAAAATGTGTTTTTGAAAATATATGATGGGTAGATGATGTATAGGATTACATCTGTTATTTACAGATTTTGTTAACATGGATTTGATAAAGCAGCACACAAACAATATTTTTAGTAGTAAATGCACCGGGAAAATTCAACATATTTTCTCTGAAATAATGTTTATATTTAGTCTCTTAATGTATAATTGATTTTACCCTAGGATATTTTCCTGTCCATCTACATATTTAAAGGCCAGAGATGTGGCTGATTATATAATTGTCTCACTTAATTATCCTGTCTCCAAGTGGATGTTTTCACACTTGCATCATGGTTACATATCCAACTCCCAATAGCCTCTGCTAGTGCACTGTGTATTAATAGACTCCGTCATGTCGCCTGTTGTCTAATAAATTGCCTCTGGTGTAAAAATGTTTCTAACCAGTGCTTCCTCTCTCTCTTCTGGGTATTAGGTTTCATTACAATGACGCCGCAGTTATTTATCAACTACAAGATGAAGTCTGTGGCCCACCTCCCATGGAGGATGCTCACCTACAAGGCTCTCAACACCTTCATCGATGACTTGTTTGCCTTCGTCATCAAGATGCCCATGATGTACAGGATAGGATGCCTCAGAGATGGTTTGTACTCGCTGATCTACATGTATTTTACTAGATTAAAAAAGGTTGAACAAATGTATGAGTTTATACAATTTAACATGTTATATTCTAGTTATACGTTACCTACCTCCCATAAAATGTGAACTCTGCATTAGTGCAGCTTGCTCATGAGCATTATACACATTTTTACACAATTACTGCAACACTGTGCCAACTGCCATCCTTCTTCACAAGATGAATAGCCTGGTTATTACCACTACAAATCAAACTTGTGAACACTAAAACAATGAGGGTTTTTATTTGAAAATTGAGAAATAATTGATTTAATCTCTACAGCTCTAGCCTGAGAATTACACATGTAGCCTTTTCTGGCTAACTTTGGCATATTTCCAGCTATAGAATTAAAATGCAATGTCTCCGTCACATGAAGCAATAAATTAAAGTTTGATTTTGACTTAAGGACTACATTTACCTACTTACAACTAAGTAGATGTTTTACTTGATGACATATTGTTAATGAGGGACTAGTTTCTTGAAAGTATACTTTTTTTCTGACTGGACAAAACCTGTTTCCTCTCCTGCAGACGTGGTGTTCTTCATCTATCTTTACCAGCGCTGGATCTACCGGGTTGATCCCAACAGGTTCAACGAGTTTGGCACCAGCGGAGTGAAACGTAAGCCGGGCGACCCGATAGAGACGGACCCCCTGGCAGTGATGGACGCCACAGACGACCCGGCAGTGACGGACGACCCGGCAGTGACGGACGACCCGGCAGTGACGGACGACCCGGCAGTGACGGACGACCCGGCAGTGACGGACGACGCTCCCGTCGCCGCCACAGACAAACCAGAGGGGGAGAAGAAGAACGATTAAGCAAAACACCGCCATTATTTACCTCCCTTACCCTCAGTGCTGGGGCGAAGAGGACTTGAAATGTAGGCAGGAAGTGGATTTTTCGTTCAGTAGTTATGGACACCACTACAAAAAAAAAATGCAGTTCAACTGTTCCCTGTGATTTCTGTGTGCATCCACAGAGAAATCATATTCAGTGTAGACTTAAATTCTTATTTCTGTTCCCCGCCCTCTCGTTTTGCAGTTCCAGTGAAGTAAAACCAAACGTGATGTACTGTATTCTGTTTGATTTCTCAGAGGGTAACAATGTATTGGAGTAGAGGTTTGGAAGGGAACTGGTTGCAGTTATACTACATTTTTTTTTTTTTTTTTATACGAGTGGAAAAGAGGCTCCGAGTCCGAGCAGCTTTTTTTTTTGGTGTAGATTCCTTGTGAATTTTTCTTTTCATTCCATGTGAGCACCGTGTTCAGATGCCTGTAAACTGGTTAGTGGTGCTGGAGGAAACTGGAAAGATCCTGAGCCACGAAGAAGTTACGAAAAGAGGAGGTGGAGACTGGAAACAAGATGGACGACCCAGACAGTGACTACTACCCTCAATTTTAAACAAATGTTTAATGTTCTGAGCTGAACATAAAAAATAACAGCCTTGTTGGTATTAATATAAATATATTAATATTGTCAATGACTTGATTTTTGTTTTTTAGTCACTGAAACATTCTTTTGTATCTCCTCAAACTGTACAGAGTCTCAGCTTGTCATGTTATTAATGCCTATGTCAAATCTGTCTAACAATAGCTAATTTAAAACTCTAATTTTAATTTCACCCCTCGGCTGAACGTCTGATTTCCAAATTGTTTCACGTTCACATTTCGAACCATCACCTAGACGGACACGGTGGAGAGTGTCAGGTGTGGCTGGAAGAATTACAGTGTCTCTTGTTTTAATTTTGAGTGCTGTAAGTCCTGAAAGAAAGAGGGTTCCATGTTGGTACATTTTGATTCATTCATGTTTATAGTAAAATTCAAGTGTGATTTAAAATGTCTATGCAATGCTTTTTTGATGTTATTACTCATTTTTACATTCAGGGTTCAAGAATGATATTTTTGCCTGAAACTTAGTTCATAATTTCCATTGATGTTACAGGAACTAGTTTATTTGTGTGCTTGTGAAGCATGCATATGTAGTCAGGTCTTTGTGCTCGTTCTCCCTGAAGGGTTTTAAAAGATTGCAACTCATGAACATGTTCAAAATCATATCAATTATTTTCACTAATGAGTTTTTCTTTTGTCATAAAGCTGAATAATAGAATCATAATTTCATCCAAAGGTCAAAAGGTGATGACTTAAAAATTGTTTTAAAGATTACATTTACAAGAAATAAAAATAACAAACAATACTTTCAATCACAGGATTAAAGCCCTGTTTTGCTTGAAAAAGTGACTCAAATAATTAATTATGGAAAAAGTCTTAACCGAATTCCTTTCTCTTTTCATGCAGATCTTCAGTCAAATAGCTAATTACAATTATTAAATGTACAAGGCATAGTCAGTCCTCTTCACTGTGTGTCTGTGGAAAGGCAGGATGGATTAACTATGCCACAAAATATTAAATGTACTAGATATGTTTGCAATGCAACACAGTGACTTTTTGGAAGTCTAACCTGTAACATTTTGAACATGGATGTCCACGCATTTCTAATAACACTGGGGCCTATTTAGTTTAAAAAGTCAAATCTACCAGGTCATAAACGCATGTTAAAGAGTGTTACACCTAATTGAACTATCTGCAGAAACGGTGTGTTGTCCTCACTTGACCTTGACTTAAAGAGTCCCAAATAGGTTATATCCTAACATATATTCCGAGTAAAAAATATATATTTTTGTGGCCTATTTTAACAGGTGAATGATCTGCCAGGTTGAAAAAAACTCCTTTATATGTAACACCCTCTAGCAGAGAAAAGTCGATTTATTTGTATTTGTTTTTCTTGGTCCCTGCTGAGTCACTGCTTCCTCTAGTCTAAACGCTTCAACTTTCGCTTTCCATTTCCATTAAACCGCCTGTCCTCTGTCAGCAGCAGGTGTCACCTGAGCAAATGGTCTTTTATTTAGCAAAAAGTTGATAGTTCAAATATAAGCAATAACACGTCACTGTATTTAGGGCAGTAACTAAACGTGCAGACATTTTATTGGGGAAGTTTGATCTGTTAATATTCATGACAAAAATAGAAATTCCCACCACTCCATCAGTTTCTCGGAAACAGGAGCAGCAGCAGGATAGTGGCATGATGCAACCAGGATAACTCGTGTGTGCGCGTGCGTGCGACATTGAACTATTTGCAAATGATGCATGCAGTGGCGTTTGATAATACGAAAACTTTATGTACAAATCTAAAACAACACCTTTTGTATAATAGTGACATAAGTACCCATGTATGGACTGCCATTTAAGCCTAAATTAAATAAATACATACATAATTAAATAAATACATATATATATGAAATACATTCTGAAATAAATAAATGAGGCAATAAATATGTATACATGTACATTTAAATACACGTTTATTTATTTCATGGGACTTTTATTTAATAATGACACATTTATTTATTATTACCCATGCATCTTATTAAAGCTGCAGTACGGCACCTGCAGTCTTAATAAAGCTGATTTTCGGCACCTGGTTTCTTTGCGGGGGGTTTTCCTGTGGGAGGTGACGTGTGACGTTCAGGGGGTTTCCGACCCCAAGCAGCCAATCAGAGCGAAGCTGCTGCGGAACCACTGAAGTGAAGTGAACTGCTCTTCAACATCTTCAACACATGTCCTCACAGTCAAACTGCCTGTCACCAGTCGGTACCATGATCGGTACACACACTTAGAGCTAGTCTTGTTTACCGGAGCTGTTTATTCAAAGTTTCACCGCAGAGACTAATACCGAAAATATTCCGGTTTGGAAATAACTACAAGGACACGACGGTGGAGTTCATGGTCCTTAAGAACAACTCACATGCGATGAAAGGCATGGACATCTTCAACGGCACAGGTTTCAGTCTTAATCTTTACGTTTGTGTTTATGTGTATGTGTGTGTGTGGGAGAGGGTTGACATCACCGGCACCGGCAGGCATGTGATTTGTCAGAGCAGAGCAGCCAACACCCATTCCCGGGAACAAACACTCCCACCCGGCTCTCTCTGTTGGCTCCACTTACTCCTGGATAACATTTAACAGGTTTTATTCAGATTATTTCTGTTTGCAGTGCTAAGTACACAGCCTGCTCGAGTTTACTTAAGTTAAACCTTGTGGTAGTCAACTTGATGTCCATTGTATCCTACTTAATACTTCTCTATTACTTCCTTACAGAGGAATATAGCAACTTGTCTTTGACAATTTCAATTTCTTGAAGCCAATCACAAAATCACCTGATCAATTGTGATATATTTGTATATGTTAAGATGCCCAGCAGTAGCCCATATAAAGTAGTTGAGTTTAACCTTCCCCAGCTGCAACATTAAAGTGATGTACTCATGAATACACCAATGATTATAATAACCCAGTGATATGATATTCATTATTCTGAGGTTGGACATAAGTAACTATCAAGTATATTTTGATTACTTTGATCTTTTTCTTAAGTAACATATCTGAGTGGTAGTACTTATTACAACTCTGTATGTGTCTCCTGCAGAGCCGCGAGGAGCATCAGACTTTGGTAAGTTTCTTTTATCTTTTGCACAAAACGCATAGTAAACCCCACATGTGTTTTTTGTGTTATTGCAACCTCATGGAGAAAGGAGAAGTCAGGCCATCTTTAGCTGGCCTATTTCTGCTTCCTCATAGCACTTTGAGAACCAGACACATTTGCAGCACAAGTTTAATTTGCTCTGACAGATGCATTTGTGATTTGTTAATGTGACATCAGGACCAAATAACAGCAAGCTAAACAGCATTATTAAACATTGTTCTATTTATGTTTTAAATTGTTTGCATTTAAGCCTGCAACTTATTTTAAGAATTCATACATCTACCTATTATTTTTGTAATGTAGGCCTACTTGTATTTTACTTTTTTTTTATTGTCAAAAATGTGTTACAAAAAATCCAATTTTACTTATTCAAATTACACAATATCATTTGAATGTAATAATCTCTGCTGTGGTACTATTGTGACCATCTTAGCTGCAGGAAACTAGTTTCTGTGTGAGTGTGGAGCCCCTGACATCTTACACCTCGACCGCAGGTGGAAATCAGTGTGCATGAGGTTTATGTTCTGGTAACCATGGCAACATCACTGCTGAAACACTTTACCACATCACATGTATATGTTTTGGTAATTGGTGGGACAATTTGGTGTCCTGATATAAAAACAAATGGATAGTGTGAATTATATAACAATTTAAGCTTGATCATTTACATCAAAAAGAAATAAACACAGAAATAAATATATTCACAAAATACAAACAGAGTTATTATATAATTATTATTGCCGGTGTCTATATAAATCACACTCATTAAATAATGGCACTTCCTCTGTAGGATATTGCCCTTTTGCCCACAGGTTTAATAATTCTTTAACATGTGAAAACCTTTTTTCTGATGTATGTGTAAGCTGTAAGAAAAACTAGTGGAAAACCCTAAAATATGTGTTAAATTATGAGTCCTTAGAGATACTAAATATATTACCTACTACCATGTCCTTTTATACTAGTTCATCAGCAGAGTTCCCTATTATTTTTGGATGTTTTACCATCTTTATATCCTTCTGTTATATATCATCAGCTATGAAGTTTTCATAAAAAATATTATTATTTTCCAGACCTCATTCAGGAGATCATCACAGAGGACGGGGGAGAGCGGCTGCGAGCCCTCCTGCCCGGCCCCCCCGCTCCTCCTGCTGACCTCTGCCAGCCTCAGAACCACAGGCTGCTCCGGCAGAGCTCCTCTCCGTCCTCTCAGCCCGTGCTGGTGGCGAGAGGCACCGCGTGTCAGGTGAGAGGGTAAAACACATCTTGTGGTGTGCTGTCACACTGGTGTTTTGTACCAGTGTAGTCATTTGTGTTGTTTCTCAGTTATAGGTTTCCTACATTTCCCAAAATGACTGTGGGCAACACCCAGAGTACTGGCTCAACTGCAAATGGGGCGACAACAGGCCTTTATAACACACAGATAAAGTTTAATTATATACAATACAGACCTCTTATTATTAAATATTGTAAACACAGTTAGAGAAGCATAATGTTGCTTTAATGTCAAGACTTATTACTAATAATTTAGACCGTTAATAGAAAGTCTACCATTTTACTCTGTCTGCCAGACTTATGGCTTTTCCACAGCTTGTCCTTATCTAACATAGACTTCATTCAAAACAAATGGTCAGTTTACCTACTTGTTGGTTGTCAAAAATAATTTCACAAATGTTATTATTTAAGTGAAATATTGCGCAAAAAGGACATGGATATAAGTATTCCAGATTCTCAAACACACGTTTTTGTTGCTTTGTTGTTTTGTTTTTGTAATGTATCTGATTAGCCTTAAAGTATAGGAAAGCCTTCAGTTCACACTGTTACCTTGAGCTCTTGAAGCTTGATGTCAGTTCTCACAATTTTCTCTGACATTTTAAAGATTTAGTGAAAAAGTATTTGTTGTATGGATTTAATGTTGGTGTAATTCACTGCAGTGTAGTACACGTGTAGCCTGCAGAGGGCTGGTTGTTGTTGAGAGGAGTATTCAGGCAGCTCGGGCTCTTACCATAAAGCACGTGGTTTACGGCTCCGAAGTAATCTGTAATCTGATGACACTGCAGTGAAGATGTGGCATTCTCAGAGAGCTCTTAATGTAAGGCACAAGAAGACGGCCTAAAGTCTTTATTAGCAAAGGATCTGCATGTGAAATTGCAAAAATGGGGGTTTTAGTATTCAAATATTGTTTGTTAAGAGGGACTTGTAGCTGTGATAGAGGCTGACACACCTCCTCCGCATGCTTTTCTGAGGGAGGAGGCTGACACAGAGAGAGAGGAGGAGTGGATGGAAAAACTGTAATATGACTCCCTTTTTCTGTTTGACGTCCTTTCTGTTTACAAGCCAAACCCACCAAGGGGTGAAAGTTCACATTCTTCTTCCTGAGACGCTTCTTCAATTGGTCGATTGGTTGAGCTGACTTCCTATTTCCTGTTCGCTGCTCACTCTGCCAGGCTATTGTTTAGCTCCAGTGTTTTCAGGCTAACAGGTTTGGCCCGGCTTTGACAACAGACGTCTAGTTCTTGACCGGATATTGTGAAGCATGATCTCATGCTGAGGCATCACCCAGATCTCTGCTGCAGTTTAATGAGCTCCCAGCCTCAGTTTCTGCTTCACAGGTGACAGAGAGGTCAACTTCTATTCTTCTTTGTTCCCTACAGGTTTGATTTCTCATCTGCCGTTACATTGATGCTTCAGATAGACGTAATACTTGAGGGTGTTTTTATTGATTCTTCCTTTTACGTCACGTGTAACCCATTCAGAGACCTAAGTGAACAGAGTTTAACAAGTGAAGCAAGGGAGCCCTGCAGAACCTGTAGATAGAGAAAGTAAAAGCAGCATGAGAGACATGCAGGAGTCTTGAGGGGGATGGAAAATAGGGTATCTGTGGTGGAAGGGGGAAATAAGACATTGAAGCGAAGGAGGAGTCAAATGAGCGCATGGTTGTTGCATTGATAGAGAGACAAGAAGGGTAGGAAGATAAAACATGCAGTGACTCAGTTTTGATGCTTCATTTCACTTCAGACATGCAGTGTTATCTGCTAGAATGGTAGCTTATCTTATATATGCTTTATATTTGCCTCTGATTGTAAGTTTATGTTTTCTGATTCTACGGGAAGGTTATTCATTAATTTCATTTTTATTACGTGTCAAATATTGTATCATTTACTTATTTGACCCTTAAAGAAATGTTTATAAGGTCATTGTTGTAACTGATAACAATCCATAATCATCCATAAATATGACCCCAAGCGATTGGCTTATACCTTTAGGTGTTTATTTGACTAACTTGTCATCTAACTATTAGCGCCTTTATTCCTCCTAAGTTCAACAAAAGTTAGATAATGTCTTATTTGCGTATATCAGAAGTTTTGGAATCATTGGGTCTTTTTATCAAAAATATTAATCTAAATATATTTTATTAATCTTAAGTGTGTGAAATGGTAATGCTAGCCCTTTGCTCCCAAACGAATACCCAACAGTCTGTGTGTGCGTGTGTTTATCTCTGCTGTGATCCGGTGGCCCCTTCTAGCCCTAATTGTGTGTGTGAATAGGTGAATGTAGGACTGGGTTCTAAAAGCTGTTTGAGTGGTCAAAAAACTGGAAACGTTTTATAATTTGGCAGTGTAGAAATATAGAGTAGCAGGTAATGACATTTTCCAACATTATCTTTATATTGTTACGCCTCAAGAGCACACAATAGAAGTTGCTACATGTTTTGTTATAAATATGTAGGAATTCAGCTTGATAAGTGTCCATGTGTTCTGCTCCAGCCATTTGAAACAGTTTCTTTAGTCTCTTGAAACTCTTTTATGCAGCTGTCTTGACTACGTCTCCAATGAAAGAGAGGTTGCCAACTTTAATGGGTCTTACCAGGTTGGATAAATGATAAATAACAACGTTTATAATGTTGTTCTATTGTTTCTCCACAGCCAACCTGCACCTTCCCTCAGCCCCCGTCCTGCCCTTCCAGAGAGATGGCTCATCCTTCCCGATCTTTTGCATCCAGTTCCTCTCGGCGTGGTCGAGGCTCCTCGTGTTCGCTGGCTTCCAAGAGCTCCAGCGGTGTTTCCTCTCAGAACCGCGGAGGCGACAGCGAGATGCTGGAGCGGCTACTGAACAAGCCCAAGCTGGTGGTGGTGGAGGAGCCCAAGGAGAGAGGCATGAGGTTTCGCTATGAGTGTGAGGGGCGCTCGGCCGGAAGCATCCCGGGGGCGTCCAGCACCGAAACCAACAAGAGTCAGCCTGCCATCGAGGTAAACACATTACACTTACATTTGTTAATTCGCGTTGGATCTTAAAGGGGGTTTACTAGCTCTCAGTGGCAGTTAGAGAAGTTTTAACCACAGTTGATCATGTTTGGTGTGTTCACTTGAACCCCTTGTTGCGAGGAGGGTGGAGCTGCAAGGATGTGGGTTGTCAGTCAAAAAGAAAGTCCCCACAAATCCCAGCCGAAGTGTGGTCAAAGACGGGCGGTTTGTCACCTTCCCACATTCTGACAACACTACTACACTTTCATCTTCGCGTTATACAAACATACATTTCACACAACGAAGAGGAAACACAAGGTGTGTGAGGATTCTGTCAATGAAAAATCTGTGGATTTCTGCAATTCATGTAAATGAAATGTAGATATTTGAGTAAAACCCCTAATTAATATTTAATTTTGGCATTTCCGTTCTTTTTGGTGAACTGATACTACATGGACTGGTTATCAGATATTTGTCACAAACAGGTCAGTTATAATAGATAGAAATAAAAGCAATGGAGTCTTCAAATGCAGAAGTAAGAAGATTGAATATGCTAAATATGCACAAACACCCAATGGTGTGAAGAACAGAAAGAAGGCTTTGATTGGCAGATCATCTGAATTTCTCCCCATGTCCTGTATTTCTTCATATTTATTTTATTAAATCTTCACAATGTTTCTCAATTTGAAAGCTCCCCTTCTTGTTTCTGTTTTCTTGTAATATCTTGCCATGTTGCACAACACCCTCTAAATAATAATAACACATGTGTTTTTATGTCACAGATGCCTTGTAATTTTGACTCCCCCAAACTATTTAATCTTCCTGTTCTCTCTTTCAGATTCAAGGTCCCATCGAACACTTAAAGAGGGTCACAGTTACTGTTTCCTTGGTGACCAAAGACCCTCCACACCGACCTCACCCCCACTGCCTTGTGGGTAAAGACTGCCCGAATGGATCAGGAATCTGCGTGGTCACGCTCAACCCTCACAGCAACCGACGTCACAGGTGCTCCTCCCATCCCTCTTTCATCTCCTGCATCAACATGCCACTTTTTTATCAAACAGTTTATTCCTCAGACTCGTACAGTAACCTCATTATACATTTGGTGTGTTGTCCATCATACAAAATAGTAAGTATTTATTGTCTTCTGGACTTGAAGCTTTAGTAACCTTGGGATCCAGTGTGTGAGGAGGAAAGAGCTGGACATTTCACTTCAGAAGAGAAGAAGCCAAAATATCGACCCCTTTCAAAGTAAGATGAAACAAAACACACACACACAGTTCATATTGTTATGTTTGTACACATCAATACATTTTAAATAAAAATGGATGACACAGTTTCCTCTTTCTTGCTGTTGAAATTCATTAAGACTGTTGTGTCTCCCCCCCCCCCCCCCAGCTGGTCACACAAAGGGCATTGAGGACATGGACATGAACGTGGTACGTCTGTGTTTTCAGTGTGACTTTGAGTGGGACGACGGGGGGAAGGACTGTCTCAGCCCAGTGCTGTCCAACCCCATCTATGACAAGAGTAAGAAACAGTCTCTTGATTAAACCGCACCAACCATGTGTTAATGTGTTTCCTGATTCTCACGCGTTGTTGTGTTTGTTCACAGAGGCCACGACCACATCTCAGCTGAAGATCGGACGTTTTAACCAGTACAGAGGCTCCTGCGCCGGCAAGACGGAAATCTACATGTTGTGTGACAAAGTGCAGAAAGGTAAGAGGACGTTTATTTGTGTTACATTTGTGAACGTCCAAACGGCATACATTTAGACCACATGTGTCAAACTCGAGGCCCGGGGGCCAAATCAGGCCCTTGGTGGATTTAATTTCGGCCCGCAGGATAATTTTTAATTACTATTAGATCTGGCCCGCCGGTATATTGCACGCACACCTTCACTCCATCCTGAGGATTTCCTCAGCTCAGAGCCTGACCCCAAACATTGATGAACATCTGGCTTGAACTAGCATCACAGCAGCACACTGAGTTTCAATGGATGTTGCCTTCTGCACTTTTTCTCTCACGACAACAGGGCATGTTTGGTTTTTCTATGAGGGAAATAGTTTTTTTGAAGCTGTTGTTGGCCTGTGGAAAAATGTAATCATAAGAAATGACTTCGGAAAAGCTGCAGATAGAGCCATAAGAAATGAATGCAACTGATTATTTAATGTTTAATGTTGTTATAGGCAATCATTTAAGCTTTGTTAGTTCCAGGTTTAATATGTGCAATAAGTTCATTCAATAAACATTGAACCAGTCCGGCCCTCGACTAGTACCGATTTTTTTTTTTTGGCCCACTGTGTATTTGAGTTTGACACCCCTGGTTTAGAGGATAAACTACGTTTTTTATTTTATTTTTTTGTGTATTTTTTAGGCAAAGACCAATTCTATAAAGCTTATTTCTATGTTCATTTTTTGATGACTTTGTTTCTTTTTAATCCTTGAGTCATCATTTTAAGTCGACCACGGTTTCCCTTTTGATGATACTGATCCTTTGATTGAGCAGAGCTACATCACGTGATTCAGCCGTGTGTATTTGGCAGCCTTCGCATCTTTTGTCATTTATGCGGAAGCTCATTCAGTGTTTTTATACAACAGAGCTTCGGGAGTTGCCTTTTAAATGATGTGGGTATTTACTGCAGGATCTTTGTACTGAAAGGGATTTCTGTTACCCTGCCAAAAGAAAATTAACATTTAAAAAAAGTCAGGTATCATGAACTTAACTTGAAGCAAAAGTGGTAGTATAATGTTATGCCTCTGTGTAATGTATAACCTGATATTCTGTAACCAACTGCTATTTCAAAATTAGGAAGTATTTTTCTCATTGATTTTGATTGCCCTGGCTTTGCGTGTCGTTGATCCACAGATGACATCGAGATCATCTTCAGACGAGGCTCGTGGAAGGCGTGCGGGGAGTTTGCGCAGACAGACGTGCACCGGCAGATCGCCATCGTGTTCAAGACCCCGCCCTACCAGGAGCAGGACCTCACGGAGGAGGTGGAGGTCAGCGTGGTCCTGCGGCGGCTCTCGGACCAGATGGAGAGCGAGTCGATCACCTTCACGTACCTGCCGCACAACCCGGGTCAGTCAGCGCTGTCTGTAGGGCGGTTTACTTGATGTGAAGCAAAAACATCAGATCATCTTACTGGCCGAACATCAGGTCAATTATTATTTCCTCTTTTCAGATCCATATGAGGTGAAACGGAAGAGAAAGATAAAGTCAGACATCAGCTTCAGAGAGAAGTCGTGTGGGACAGGTGAGGCCTGAAAGACTTTCCTTACATTCGATTTATGGACCCTTCTTTCATGTTTACTTCTTCTGGAGGAGGTGGAGGTGAACTGATTCAATGAAGCAAGAAGTCTTTGTGTCCGTTTGACATTTTTGTATTTTTAGCAGCTAACATTTTGACTTGTCACAGCAGGTAAAGCACAGGTGATACTGATTATATTAACAAAGGCTCTGTTGTATTAAAGCTGAGAAGATGTGCGTTAGTAACTTACACTACATGTTTAAATCTGCCTTCATGTATGACCAGAATCTGCCCCTTCTATGTTCACACTAAATGTAGGCACAGAAGTCACATATACAATTACTGTGACTATAATGTTCTTATTATAATTGTGTTATAGCTTATTTAATTTATATTTAAGGCACAATTCTTCAAGATGATTGTCAGCTCTGGCACATATTTCTACATCCAAATCTACACATACTAAGGTAGAATACAAATATATTCTTTATGAAAGGTAGGATGTATAGCAGTATTTATTAGACTGCATTCGTTTTAGCTAGGTGTTCCCAATTAACGGGATGTGTCTATATTCATATTTTAATATATTACACGTAAGGAGGGTTTTGTTATCACTGAAATGTCTTGAAATAACTACATTTATCTTAGGCTTTAGATATCATCTCATGTCATGATCCAAGTTTAAAGTGTTCTACCTTATACCAGACCTTTCATTACGTTTTGATTTCCTCCCTAACCCAACCTGTTCCTCTCCTACAGCAGACGGAGCCCCTGCAGCGGAGCAGCCCTTTCACTTCCCGCAGCCTCAGACCATGATGCCCTCGGAGGACCGGCTCTGTGCCCCCGAGCCCGGGACCTTCGCTCTAGGGGAGATGCAGTACAGCGAGCCCCAGGACTCCGACACCGACACAACGACAATCATCAACCAGATCCTAGAAATACCTGAACTGCGGGAAATGCTTTCTGACCCGAGCTTCAACATGTCCCTGTCCTCTGGCTTTGAGCAGGGGCCCGATGCAAACCTCTCGTTTGCAAACATGGATTTGAACTTAAACCAGAACTTTAGCACATACTCTCAGGACTTTTCCCATTACAGCGACTTGCAGTTCAACATGCTCGTCAATGAGAGCCAGGCTCCGCAGGCAGAGGCCCAGGACAGCCCCTCCAACATGGTCCAGGTGAAGACAGAAGAAGAGCTATGAGGGCGGGACCGTCGGGGTCATGAAGCGCCCTCACACACTCTCCACTGTAAAATAAACATTTTGGGTAACATTTTGGTCATAGCTCCTATTTGCGTTCTTGCTTAGAATGACCATATCAGTGATATCTATCTCTGCAATGAAGTAAATAGGTGTATTTCCCAAAATGTTCTCCCTTGACTCCTCTGGATTTACAGCCAGATGATGCTGCTCCGGCTGCTTGCACTGTGAAGCTGTCTGTCCTCTCACTAATGTCTTTGTCTGAAGACCTTGCCGGTCAAGGCTTTAAGAAACAAGTCAACATTCCATCATATGTGGCAGGGAATGCTGCCAGCATTAATGGTCAGAAGGTGATTCCCAGTCAATGTGGGTCTTTAAAAGAGAACTCCTTAACATCGTAACCTAGGAAACAACAGAAACCCTCTCATGAATTGCCTTCCAATGTACTAAATGATTAGTGAGGTCACTTGTAAATGTTGAAATGTAATCTTTGTCTAAGATCTATTATGTTTGCTTTCACATGATTTTGGGAGAAAAACACGACTTCCTACAAGAAGTTGACGAAAAGTCTCAAGTAGTAGTTTCAGATCTGCGCTTCACATTGTCTTCTCTGATGTAGCTGTCACACTAGCTGGCTTAATATTTAATCAAACTAAATGCAATAGAAACCAGTCCTTCTCTTATTTATAGCTCTGTCTGTGTCACTTCTCATTGTTCTGCAGTTTCACTCTTGTGCGAAACAGTCAAATTCCTCTTTCACATGTCCAACTTCACCCCCTCACTGGGGGCATGTTTGGGTCCATAATTCATCAAATAAAATGTCCGTCTGTTATTTTTGTGTTGTCGTTTCTTCCTCTGAAACACACTTATTCTTCTGGGAGGTTTTGATGAAGATTGAAGAGCAAGAAAAGCACTTTTAAACATGTCCTTCAGCTGCTTGCCAACTCACGCTCCTAGTGCTTGTTTATTTCTAGAAAAATGAATCTTGGCAAAAACACAAGATGGTTTTATGTTTCAAATGTCAACATCGAGTCTTTTTGAGTGAAACGCTCGGGTGAAAGGTTTTCTTTTGTTTATGGTTATTTCACACCTTGTGTTCTCTTTATTTGCAGTTTCTCATCTTCACACAATGTGTTTTTCTTGGAAAGATGACTCATTTAACAGCTCTATTTAACCAGAGCGAAATGCATTTGGATTATTGCGTAACTCCAGGAAGTTTCATAGATTGGGAAATAGCTGAACTACAAAATGTCCAATGTGTTCGTTTTGATCATTTATGGTTGGATTAAAACCTTTCACTATTTAAATTCTCCGTGTATTTACTTACAGTGAGCCAGCATGGCACAGGGAAACTATTCTCAAAAAACACAAACTTTCCTTTTAATTCAGAGTTGTTTACTGACATAGCTTATTTTAAGTTTATTATATTAAGTACATCATTCCCGAGACACATTCTCAACCGTACAGACGCTTGTTAGGTTGACACAAAACAATTATCTTTCTCATGACATCAGGCAGCTTCTTTTAATTGTAGTCAGTTTTGCTAAATAGATGATTTGGTTTATAAGTTTCATGATACATTCTTCTTTAACCTCATTGACTAAGTGATCATGAGTCTAAAGTGGAATCTTCAAAAGGATTGAACAGCTCAAAAATATACAATTTAAAATCAAATAACCAACACATTTATCAGAAATTCAATCCAAGTTTTTTTTTAAATGCAATTTATGATTAGGATCAATTTGCGGTGGGTTCTTCCCACACACAAACCTGTTTGTGAAGAGCTTTATATAACTCAGTCCTCCATCAGGCCAGCTGGTTACCTGTGTGTTGCTGTGGGTGTGTCGTGAGAGCAGGTGTGAGACTCTGTCACTGTTCACTTGATCTGAATGCAGAACTGATGGCTGCGGGAAACTCCACACTGGACTGTGTCCAAGCTCTCATTACTTCATGATAATGGTACCACCACACACTGCTGCTGAGACTTGTATGGACATGTCCATGCTACCATCGTATCCTTGCTGTTAATGGCAGAAAGGTAGTGGTTTAAGAATGATATATGTATGTAATTGCCTTTTTTATTTGATTAAAAAATATATGCATGATTAGTCATGGCAATTAAGAACATTTAATTGATATATTTGTTTTTAATGAAATGTTTTAGTGATGCAACCTTTCAGTGGTAAGAATGTTATTCGGTTAAGCAAGAAGAGGGAATTTCCTGGCTCAACTATTCCGCTTTAGCGCCTGCCTTTAAAACGAATTGAAGGCGTGTATTCACAGATATGATATCGTATATGATATATTATAAAATTAGCTGTTTTATGACAAACTACTCTTTGATACCACAGAAGATCAATCAATATGCATGTGTTGATTATGTTTAATATTTATCTCAATCTACCAAGTAACTAGTTATCAGATAAAAGTTTGAGTTAAAAATATTTAACTCTGAATGTAGACAAACAGTTTAAAGTAGCAGAAAACACTCAATCAATTATACGCAAGTTAAATAGTAGATCTTAAATAAGAAATGTTTTAATGTAAAGGGCATTGAAATGACTGACTCTTTTATATAGTTTGATACATCTTACTATAAACATTATACATACAAACATCAATGTTTGGCCAAAAGTGGATTAGTAAGGAGGTAACTATCATATAAAGATATTGGCTTAAACATATAAATACATTTGAAACAGACCTCTTACACACGGGTCATGGTGATCCCGGTAGGGGGGACAATTACCAAATTTGGTATGGTGTTAAACTTGAATTTAGAGGACTTTTTGTTTATCATGTGCAATATAAACGGGGTAATTCTAACCTGGAGTGGCTGTTTACAGAGGCAGGTATCTCACCTCTCCAGGTTACAACACCCACGGGAGTCCCCTGCACCCGGAGGGACTCCCCATCGGACAATTATAGCACGCTGCGACCACAAACTGCACAACACCAGTACAAGTCTCACACATCAGCCAGGAGGAGGTGAAAGCGAAATCAGGCCACAAACGGCTGCTTTTATGTCTCTTTTCTTCCATTGATTAACCCTCGCACCATACAAGGACCTTAGCGGTACGGTGTGTTCATGGAAAGATGTTTGGTTTATTACGTCACTTGTTTGTTTTGATAATACCAGTATCATCTTTGCCAAGAGAATTTCCGTGATACCCGGTATTTTCAGAGTTTTTGGAGCTATAACACATTAACCACAGCTCTTTGGCTTTAATTCACTTCTGTTTTTCATAAGTTGCAACTTGGTTTTAATACAACAGTCCATAATCCAATTGAGGCATTACATCTCTCTATTAAACGGCAACTTAACTCATTCAAAGTATTTTAGCTCCATCTACTGGGGAAACAGACTCCTTTCAGTGATTAGGGTAAATCCTTTAAAGTAAGTAAAACATTTATTCAGAGGCTTTAAAGGTCACCTATTATGCAAAATCCACTTCTTCATGTCTCTTCTACACCAACATGTGTCCCCTCTGTGTAAAGAGATTCTGAAACTTTCAGGGAAAAAGATTCTCTCACTTTTTGTCCTGATCCATTTATATAAAAACCTGTCAGAAAATGAGCTGATCAGATTTTGGCCACTTTATGATGTCATAACGATTTTTTGGCTTGTGTCAACATTAGCCAATCACCAACCACGGTAACACCCCCCCCCACCTTATCTCCTGAAGCCACTATTTCAAGTATACTACGTCATCGAGTGGCGCCGAAGGACTGTTTAAATGCCCAGCATTCGGCGCCACTCGATGACGTAGTATACTTGAAATAGTTGCTCTGCAGCAGCTTTACTCGACATTGAGAAACGGCCAGAGAATCAGCACTTTTGAAACAGGGCTGAAACAGAGGGGATTATGGGATGCATGATCTGTTTGGTATTTCAAGCCAAACATTTCAGAGACATGTGTTGTATACATCTTAGAACTATAATATATTGATGAAAAACAGTATAATAGGGGACCTTTAAGAATCTGTTTGAGATCCTGCTAACCTGTCCAGGCTTGGATCTGTACTGTATGGTCGCAGTTAGTACTAGTTTATTAATAAATGTGGTATTTGTCCCTTTACAACTGCATCTCATAACATTGGGCTGCATGGATTACATTTTTAGTTGTGATATTAACTTAAAAAGGAGACACATTTATTCAAGTAGAAGCTTAAATAATATTTCTTTCCCATACTGTCTGTGTGGAGGAAACTTCTGTGTAGCAATGCAGTGGGAGTCACCGACTCATGAAGGAGACACGGGATGAGCTGGAGCTTTGATGTCAAACACTGATGGTTTGTTTGGAGTTACGGCCGGAGAGTTGACAAGACAGGTGGTGTGTCACGAGTTGACACAGCGGTTGCCAAACCAATTCTGAAGAACTCTTTCTGCAGCTCGAGGTTTTAACTAGTTCGGAGTGTAATAATCAACATTCTTCATCAGTGAGACTATGGACCCTGAATCTAACTAGAGCTCTCGTCCATAGAAAATAATGTGCGCCAGGGAACCTTCGTCCCTGAACAGTAAACTACCTCATGGCGGCTTGTGCTCTGTCATAGACTGGCAACAACAATGCGCCCAAGCTGCCCCTCCTTAAAAGAGATAGCAGCAATACCCAAGGCCGTAGACATATGCAATGGGCAAGGAGACAATGAGAGGAGAAAATGATGAACTGTGTCGAAGGTTGAATACCTAGGCAAATGATTCCCTAACAGTCTGAATATACCTGTAGTCACTCTCACAATCATGCTGTGAATCGGTTAACTACAAAATTAGTGAACTGATTAAATAATGATTGGAGAACAGATGAGCATAAATAAAGTTTAAGAAAAAAACGTGAATCTTTTATTTTGTTTAGATATCATGTACAAGGGCCTGATATCACAGCTGGTCTGGAGGGTTTACACTTAATTCTTAAAATGTACTTATGCGTGGATCTTGAATACAAACTGAAATAAATAAGAGTTACTCCAACATGACCTCATCATTTGTGTCTCTTCTGTCTTCGTGTCGCTCCCAGATGGAAATACAAGCTGTAGAAAGTTCTCCCAGGGGATGGGGCTTCAGAAACAGAAACTTGGGGACCCTCCCACCACCTCTTCAAGTTCAACCTACTTGAGTATCAGTCTGAAAAGCTGCCTCTGTCGCTCAGAGGAGTCACTCCTTCACTGTGACGTGTGGCTCAGAGAGTTTCTGGATGTGCAGCTCCTCCATCAGCTGCTCCACACAGACCTTAAACAGAGGCTCCGGCTCCTGGGAGACAACAGGAAGGACAATCATCACAGACTGCACACGGGGTTATTATTACAAGTTAATATTACTTTCCACATCTTTTAGGTGTATGTGTTTGGGTTAGGGTGGGATAGTGAGGTGTAATCTATAGCTTTGATTTGTAATGAATTTCATATTGAATATAGAAAACATTTTGAACTTACCTATGTTTATAATCCACATATTTATATTGATATAGTAATAAAATACAGTATTTTATAATAACCTACTGTATTTAATTGTATGTTGTTTTATTTCATTCAATCTATTTCCTACATCTTAATGGGACCATTATATCACTTGCATTACTTTGTTACACAATTTCATTTCTTTTTATGTCTTAATTAAATATGTTAAATGGTTGGAGTTGCTGCAGTAACCCTGTGTATTTCTGTTACGTCTTTAAAAAGTGCTGAATGAGTTTCGTGCAGCTGTGTTTGAGGTCTTACCTTGTGCTCCAGCTGCCTCTGCTTCTCCACGGCCTCTTCCAGACTCAGACCGACCCACTCGACCTCCCCCTCTGGGATGTCAACCTGCTGCTGAGAAGGGAGGAAGCACAAAAAGGAACTTGTCATTGGTTTTTTAAACACAACTCCTAGCGTCTCAAGGGGTACTATGCCAAGACAGACAGCAACAATTAAACCACACAGAAATGTAGACACATACTAAAAGAAACAAAACAAATCACATAGGGAACAGAGTCAGATTTGCAGCCAGGTGAATTAAAAAATATTGACATCCTTAAGTAAAAATATGAATAAATGAATGTCAAAATACTGAATGAAATGTAGTGGCGTAGAAGAGCCGCATGAAATGGAATTCAAGTAAAGTACAGATACTTTAAATTGTAAATACCGGACTCAAGTTATGTTTTTGGTTACTTTCCAACCTCAGTTCCCATAGCTGTGTAACATCAGGGTTAGTTTCAGTCAGTGTGTAGCAACACATTAGGGACCACAAAGTGGACTTGAACACATCCCACTTACTTTGTATTTGTTGTAGACCTTCTCTCTCTTCACAGGGTCTGCTGGGTAGAGCTCTGAGTCTCTGCGCACCAGGCGGAGCATCATGGCTCTCTTCAGGTCCATGCCCAGCTTGGAGTTCAGGTCTTCCTTTGATGTCTGATAGAAAGTAGGATAATCATAGTCATAAAAATGCCATATGGAAAATAGATTTTTGTCACACAAAGGAAAGGTCGTGATCTTTTACTTTGAGGATATAGAAGTCGAATCCAAATGCAGCGTCAACGAGGTCCAGAGTGCGCGGGGTGACTTTGATGGTGAACTTGTGATCGAGGATCTCGCTGTAAAACTCTCTCTCTAACAGCTTTGGTTTCCAGACCTTCTTAAGACGATTCGACATCTGTGGAGAGAAACAATTCACACATCCATTATGTCTACAGATACATTTCAAACATGTTTAGTTTTAACTGCAGAATGTGTTGGAAAATGATAAATGTCTGCTGGGCTTTCATGCCACACTACTATTTCTAACAATCAGTGAAGCTGCATTATGTACACACAATGTATCATTTAATACAAATGTGTTACTTGTGGGCTTTATTTGTAGACTTGAACTTGTCTACAAATAAAACCCATGACGCTTTGCTGCAACACATTATTTGATGAGAGTTTATACCAAGACAAAACTTGAATTGTATGATATCTCTGCCTTTTTTGAAAGGTATATGCACAGAAAGGAAAGAAAGGAGCAGAAGAGACAAGCAGAGTGACATGCTAGCTCAGCTGTATTGTATTGTTTTAATCATGTCATGTCAACACACTGTAGTAAAACTAAAGAAAGAAATGTCCCCTCCTGTGACTCACTTTGTCATTGTTGGCGTATTTGTAGCCCGATACCCAGCCCTCTCCCCCCCACAGGCCGCTCTGCGACTGTGGAGGGTAGTAGATGGGCACCGGGACATCCTGCACCCGCTCCTTCTTCCCCGTCTTTGGGTTGGCTCGGTATTGGATGCCCAGCGGTCTCCAATGGACAGGCGTGGGATCTTTCGGCTCGATGGACTTGATGTAGTGTTGGGGGAGTCGGGCGTAGATGCCCTGCTTCAGCTTCAACGCATCCCAAATTTTGGGGGAGTATTTATGCAAAGGCATGACGAACTACTTGAGTCAAATCTGGAAGACAGAAGGATGATGAAACATTGTTACAGTTGTAAATCAGTAGTGGTTAATACATAGAATTATAACATAGCTGCCATGCAAAAGACTATACAATTTAGATTTTCCTCAGGTTCATTCATAACACACTGAATGTTGGGACTAGGGAATTAAGGAATAAGCTGAGTGCTCTTACTAGTTCATGTACAAATACATTGGAAATGCAATATATAAAATATTTTTTAATGAGGAGAGTTAAAACCTACTACATTAATCCCTGAAATGGTGCATAGCAGTACGTTGTAATATATTTAATCAATTAGCTGCAGCTGGTTGAACTTAATAAATACACATTAACAGGAACTCACAGCACAAGTGAACAACTTTCATAACGTTGCTTGTTAGCAGGACGCTAGCTTGCCCAGGCTAACAACAGAGGTTTACATCTAAACAATGCTTCTGTGAGGATAATATATTATTGAGATCACGTTTTCAAGTCTATCTTACCTGGTAATGACAAAACAGTGACCTTAAAAGAGAAGAAGGTGAGTTTTTAATTCAGGTTAGCCCAAAAACAAGCAGGCAAGGACATCACGATCTCAGCCCCAGTACACAGGGAGATTTCCGCATCGGTCAGCCCAGGAGCAACGTGATTGGATGCCAAACAGAAACTCGCAGTTGATTGGCTTTTGATGGTTGTCAATCAATCTTGATCTCCGGGGAAATTCCTTACACAATAATTGCGGCCCTAGATCACAGCCCTATTATGTATCACAGGTCAAAATAAAACATAGCATAAAAAAAACCTCAAATCATCTACAAGTAATTAAATTGACTAAATCTAATTTAAAGAAGTAAAAGAGCTAATACAAATATTACACTTCTCTTTTTAACATTGTGGACTTTTATTGTGAAGTGCATGGACAGAGCCTGACAGGAAGTATTCTTGAGGTTGTAAAATGTTTAAATTGTTACAAAACCCGCAAATAAAACACGATTTTAAGAGAGTATTTAGTGGAATTCTTGAATCATGATAACCCTAATCTATTTTACGTGTCATTTAATGGAATACCGTTTTTTAATAGTTGATGAATTCTTTAATATTTTCAGATCGAGATTAAATCAAACAACGTTTCAAGAGATCCTCTGGGCGATATTTTCCATTACTTCGCCCGAAAGGTGGAATTGAACCACTCTGCCGCTAAGCAGCTACAGGTTTGAAGCCTGCACCCCGGACCACCGAGGCTCATCCGGGCACTTATAACTTGTCTGTCAGATGTTAATATACCTCATACCAGCAAGACTCCTCCGAGTCACGGTGTCAACAAAAATTATTATTGTTATTTTGCATTTATCAGAGTTCGCTCCTGTATGCAAGATGTACTCACGTGCTGGATATCTCCAAACATATACAGCTAAAACGTCTGAAAAACATCAAAAATAAAGGGAAGTAGTCGGGTCTGTACTGTGTTATGCGAAGCAGATGCTTTGTGATTGGCGGCCTGAAAATAAAAAGGTGGAGCCACATAGCAACATCACAGGTGAGAAATATGACCCAGTTTCATTGATTTAGAAATAGCTTCTCACAACATGGGTGACAACATAATCATAATAAAACAGATTAGATCACATTGAGACAGACAGAATGAAGATGAAGTAAATTAAAGCAAATCCACAACTGTAAAATCAAAAGATTAAACAGTGCAAAAGCATATAATATTGATCCCACCAACACATTTGTCTCAATATGATTTTCAATAACTACTTTAAATGTTAAACTAAAAGGAAAGTTATATTATTATTGTATTGCATCATTATTATTGCTGTAATATAATACATAGTAGGTTTTATTGTAATATTTACTTCAATTATGTAGTTGGTTGAGGTAGAACATAATTATGCAAATATACAGCGTGTAGATTAATCTATAATGCATCCAGTTTAAATACCCTTATCACGTTTTGTGAAATGTTGATCTGTAAAATATACTAATCAAAGCTCTCAGATAAGGGTAGAAGTATACAGTAGTAAATAATTAAAATACTATAAGTACAAGTACCTAAAAATGTAACTTAAGAACAGTACTCAATTGAATAAACCATGTTACTTTCCACCACTGCGTGTAATATGTGTGTTTCGTTTTGTATCTGCCAATGAAAACAGGTTTAAATGACTGATGCATCTGTTCTTGTACTTTTGCTGCTATGACACTGAGATCAATACATTTGTTATGATCTTAAAATGAAAAGAGACACATTTTAGTATAACTATTTGTTTTAATGTCAGTTCATGGGAAGAATATAGAAGTTCCAGGTACAAATGAAGTAACACAACAACAAAAATGCTTCCATTTTGACAGAATTGCACTTGATATTGCATAGATAATCTTTGGGACAGCACTGTGTTAATATCCCAAATCTAAAGAACAAAAACATATGTCCAGGCACTTAAAGAAAGATAACACTTTAAAATATGTTTTTCCCCATTATCGTTGCCCCTACATTCACTTAATGAAACTCCTCCAGTGCAGTTCTCTGGGTCAGAGGAAGGTGTTCTCGATGACCAGAGTCTGAGGCTCTTCCTTTGTTTCTCCAGCTGCCGGTGCCAGCAGGCTCCTGCTCTCCTCCAGGGAGGAGCAGCACATATTCCCATCACAGGCCTTTCCACAGGCCAGGCTGCAGGAGAGAAGAGGAGGAAGGGAGGGGTCCTCTCTGTGGACCACGGGCGAGGCGCACCCTGCACTGCCTGCAGAGGAACCAGGGCAAGAGGCAAACTCTGGCTGAACGGTGCAGCAGCTCACTCCCACACTCTGCAGCACCTTGGTGACCCCCGACATCAGGTCAGCACACCTGTGTAAAATGAAAATGAAAATGAAGTACAGTTTTTGTTACAGGCAACATTTGTATTATTATAACAGGAGGGTTTCTATGTTTCATTATTGGCGATAATTGTGATTTTTAAGTGAAATATTGATTTCTTGTTGGTAAAACACATATGACTACAGAGTGTAAACACCACTAAATCATCCATCAAACCATTTTTTTAAACGCTTTTTTAAAGTTATGATTACATCATCTCTCCTAACCTTACTACACTTGTATTTTGAGTGTAATAAAATGCGTAGAGAAAAAAATGCAAAACAAACAAAGTTAGTGACAGCATAATATTTTTGCTGTTGTTGATGTATCATCAGTCTTTTGAAGAACCAAAACCTATGAGTTGGTGGTGGTGTTGCGTAACAGTTATATATTCAGTATCTCTAATATCCCAGGTGGTCCCAGCCTAATCCAATCCAATCCAATCCATTTTATTTATATAGCACATTTCAAAACAACAGAGTTGAACAAAGTGCTGTACATCAACAACTGTATAAAAACAGCCTAGGTCTACAACCCTTAATGGCTTTTTGTTTACAAAAAATGAATCTGTACTTTTTAGCTAATCCGAATTGAGTATTCCTGGATGAGCATGGTATAAACAGATAAAACCACCAGGTATCAACGTCAATCTTTTCCACCTCACCTCTGCACTGGAAACCCAGCATGGCAGTGAACATGGACAGAGGCCACCGTGAAGGATTCAGTCAACTGCCACACGTGGAGGTCGTGCACAGCCTGAACCCCGGGTACGCTTGTAATCCTCCGTCCAAGATCAGACACACAAATGTGTGGAGGTGAGGCCTGCAGCAGCAGCAGTCCATACCTGTGCACCTGGAGAGATTTACCGGGGAAACATTCATCAGCACTGGTTTTTACTCAGCTGCAGTAAATATGCATTATTGTGATTAGTGGATTGAACTCACTAAATGGCATCACATTAAGTACAGAGTCTGACCTGTGGCAGAGCTGTGACAACAAGAATGATCACAGCGAGCAGGGAGAGGCCAGGGTCCAGGTACACCAGCAGGCCACAGGTCCCAGAGCTGTGCAGCAGCTGGGGGACGATGAGCAGCACCACCAGGCTGTTGGTCAGAGCCAGCAGAGAGGTACAGAGGCCCTGAAGGACCAGGACGAACGACAGGAGGCTGACCGGCCACTGGCTGACCGGTAAAGTCCTCTCTATGGGATGTGAGGACTTGCAGACTGGGGAGGTATCTGATGCAGTTTGTTTGTCTGAAGGGAGACAAAAGAGTGAAACATTATGTATGCAGAAGATGTGAGATCAGAGCACCAGAACATTGGCTTCTGACCCGTAAGAGCCAAGCAGATCCTTACAAAACAGTATGACAATATTGAGAAGAATATGCTTTTGATTTTGAAATGTACTAATTCTTATTTGAAAATGTATGCAATATCAGAAGTGATATATTTAATCTTCAGTACGTTTTTAACAATAATCATTGAACGTCAGTTATAAATAAATAGACAGCAGTGGGCTGATACAATATTGCCCAGGCCCACTTTAAGATGATCATGTGACATTACAATTCATGCTTATTCTTTTCACACTTTAAACCCTTTGCTTGTTTCATATAGAAATATAATGCAAACTTAATGTTTATTTTAATGTACCTCAGTCATAACTAATAGGGAATTTCATTTGGTACCAAATAAATACAAATGATGTGAACCTCATGCAGCTCTTTTTCTGCAGGACACTAAAGTAAGAAAGCTGACAGTCAAAGTCTCTTACCGAGATGTCCCATGCACTTGTTAACCTTTAGCTGTGCAGCTCCACAGTCCCAGCTCTCCTCTGGAGCCGCTGCATGCAGGTGGACTTCTGTCTTCGGTGCGGCTTGACAGTCAGTGTCAGGGACGCTGGAGGTTCCCGGGTTACAGAGGACAAGCGCCCCGTTGTGGTGCGAGTCGTACACGGCAGATTGGACATGGCTACCGTCCTCGTCCCTGCCTTTAGTCTCTTCTGCAGCCAAGGCTGTGGGAGTGGAACAGAGGAATGAAAAGCAAACATAGACTGTTTGATGTTCCTTACAGCTGAGTATACACTTGGCAGCTGCTTCAAAGTCAAATCTGTCAGAGCAATATCATCATCTGGACAGACACGCTAATTCTTCTGTGGTAAAAGATTAATATTACATAATGCCAGTGTCAGTAAGTGCTTTCCCAGGGTCCCATGCTCTGCAGCACATTTTAAATGCTCTGTGCTTCATTGTGAGCTGCAACAAATTCCTTGTCGTCCAAAATGAATGAATTTCAGAAACCAGGTTGCAGAATAGACTTTAAAATCCTTAAACACAGAAACAATGTGGTTCAATAAACAGCTAACATTGTATCTCTGCTTACATATGATATTACAGACTTTATGGTGAACCTGCTGTTACTGGATGTCAAGTGTCCAGATTTCAATGGTATCAACACCATTCTCATCTCTGTAAGGTTCAATTGAGGATACATTTATCTAAAAGCTTAGCATCAAGAATGGAAACTGGAAAGAAAATCACATCAACCAACCCTTAGAAAATCACCAAGCGGCGAGCGCACATTTTGTTCGTAATTTAAGAATTACTACGCTACTTTTTACATTTTTGCACAAATGGCAAATAGTATAATCCTAAAGACCGCTTGCCAGCAAATTGGACCAGGGCCACAACCTATCCCCCCCCCCCCACTTCACTTGCGCCATTGGACCACACCCATCTTCTAACACAGCCCTCATTTTGACTGCAGGCCTGTGAAGTGATGCCAAATTGAGTCAGGGTGTAGAGTTAGGGTGTAACTCTGGGGATATTTTAAACACACAGAGAAAACATGTTTAGGTCGGCCTTTGCAGATGTGCAAGTTTGTCCAAACAGAGCTGCTTATTGTTATACTGTTTGTGCATCAGCTCTCAAACGAAACATCTGTAGGTGATGTTACCTTTGTGGTTCACTTCAAGGTGAGATTCGGGCCCTGCCTTCTCCTCCTGCAGCTGATCCCAGTTCAGCCAGACCACCAGCATCTTATGCAGCACGCTGACAGCTCCGACCACCACGAGCAGCAGGGGGCGCTGCACTGGGTGAGGGTCCAGGGTGAAGCTGAGGATCTCCATGAAGTAAGAGAGACACAGAGAGGTGAGGAGGAGAGCGGAGATGAAAGACCCCACGGGCTGAACCCTGCTGCTGGTGAGGGACACACCGGAGGCCTGAAGCCCCCCGGCCAGGCCCCCAGGTGGAGATTCAATGGATGACTCTGCAGGCGGGGGGGCGGGAGGTGCTGATGAAGAGGAGCCAGCATGTGGGGGAGATGAAGAGGAGTCCACACGAGGAAGAGCCATGCGCAAGAGGATGAAGAGCGTGTGGAAACCATCTAGTAAGGTGATAAGGGACTTGCACAGCTGACTGATGGTGACCTCGCATGCCAGCAGGAGGATGGTCACTCCCAGCACGCACCAGTGTAGCACCCTCATACCTGCAACAAACACTTGTTCTTACAACCATCACAACACATGCTCATCAGTGTGTAAATATCACTTAAAAACGAATTTGCATTTTCTAATCTCTTACTGTTTCTATGGTAAGAGATGTGCTGTCTTTTCAAAAACTAAAAATGGCTGGAGGGAAAGCGAATAAAATCACATCTGAACCACTTTGCTGTTTTAGCAGATTAGACGCTCAGTTAGGCTCTCATGCTGATGGGTAGTTTGTATTGGTCATGGCTTAATATTGTATAAACTCTTTATCTGCAAACTGTCATACAAATTGTACTTAATAATCTGAAATGTAGTGCAGGAGAGGTATAATGTTGCATTAAACTACAACAGTTTGGTACCTCATTGCTTAATGTACTTCCTACTGCTCTTAATATTAACTTTTTGCAACAACAAAACAACAATGTAATTATCATTCTGAAATTGGCCATTATGCAAAATGAGTACTTTTACTTTTGGTACTAGTATTTTAATGCTTTTACTTGGGTACAATTACAAATGCAAGACTGAGTTTCTCTATATATTACTACTTTTAATAAGCAACAGATCTTCCACCACTAGTTAGTCATGGTTGAGCGTGTACATGTACAAAGATCTATTTGCTCAAGCAGAAGTGGAAAACTAAAACAAATGCAACACATGTCTCTATCTTTACCAACATAAAGATTAGTTACCTAAAGAAAGTGGATGACCCTCGAGCAGCAATCAAAGATGAGTTGAGTTCTTGGACGTGATCTCTGCGCTGAAATCAGAAAAATGTCATTCATAGTGCTCACCATCTCTCCCTCTCTGTGTCCCACCACACTCCTCCTCTAATCACAGTCATGTGAGCAGGGTAGAAGGGGGGGGGGGGGGTCTCCTCAGGCATCCCTCCTCAGTTCGGTGGTGGGAGAATATACCTTCAATGGACGATCAAACAGCCCACCCACCCTTCACACACTCTCTGAGCAGCTCCTGTGAAGCTAATTTGCAACAATTAAATCCCCATTGTGTTGTCAGGATTATAACCAGATCATAAGATGATGTCTTCAGACATGTAGGGGAGGGTCACAGGTAGTGGACCCCGGGGAAGAGTGGGAAGCTCACTTGGGTTTTTCTACCTGCACCCAGCCGAGAGAGCGGCTGAGGCAGGCTTTCTGTAGTGATGGATTTGGTAGTCTCTGTTTTAAAACTTGGACCTTAAGGAAGAATAACTATATGTCACGGATAAAGGACACACTTTTCACTAAGGAAAACTAGTATAAGATAACCAAACACAACTGTCTTCTGGGAAGTGCTCAGCACAGATGCAGCACATGCCTTTGCTTGAAATATAGACTCCAGATATTTCAAACCTTTTGGAGGAGTACCAAATAGTTTGCTCTTAACATTTTACCTCCTGTAAACATCACACATGCTGCAATCATTAACCGAGAGCTGAAACACGTTGATAAAGAATATAAATGGATCAGACAGACAAGCTTGTTTCCTGTTGATTGTCTACTGTGGTCGAAAATGGCAGTGAATCTTAAACATATATCATATGCATTTAGTAACATTAGCCCCTACACACTGGTCATACCAGACCAAGTGAGGATGTACAAACTAACCCTCTGAGCACAGGCTCCTGAAGTAAGAGAGTGTTTGAAAATAACTCTTTGCAGGAGGAAGAATGTGTTACTCCTTACTTGAATATTACATAATCCCCCTTTGAAGCTTTTTGCCAAGAGTTGGTTGTGAAGATTAGCACCCCTCTCACACATGAGGTATCTGGACACTCCTGACCCCTCGGATGACGCTGCAGGACCATCAGCCCCTGCTCTGTGCGCCCGGTCTGTTGCAGTCCACTGATCTGGGAACCAACAGGCCAGATCGGGGCTGACACCCCGACTATTCACCAGCATGCCAGCACATTCCTGAGGCACGGCCAGAGGAGAGACCCGGAGAGGAAGCATCTGATCACCTGATCACTGTCCCTACGGAGCAGGCCCGGTTCTACGGGGGTGCATAAGGGTGCATTGCACCCTCAGTTGAGTTGTTATGCACCCTCATTTGAAAAATTAAAAGTGAAAAATTAAAAGTGAATTTTTTTTTATTATTAAAAGTGAAAATTATTACATATATAATAACAATAATAACAATAGTAGTAATAATAATAATAATAAGAATATAGTTGAAATAAAATAAATTGCAATTGTGGTTAAATAACATTGTCTGCTGCATTTATTTGGTCCATTTAAACGGTACGTAACGTTATTATGTCAGGTGCGCGTGACCTGTGCCGCTGCATGTTCATCATCTGCAAGGTGCTTACACAGCAGTCAATGATGGAACTCAGAAAATGGTTAAAACAACCAGCCCTAATCGCCAGCAGTAACACTGCATCTACTGCAGGTAATAACAGTTCAGATCATGGGGACATTACGTTCGGCCACTGTCATGGACACTAACGTCCTCCCGCCCGACTCGCCGGCTTTGCCCACGGAGGCGGAGCAGCCGCAGCCGTCTTCGTTGCCCCAAACACCGCCACCCCTCGGCGGCCCGCAAGTGCCAGAGGACCTCGGCAAAACAGAGCCTGCCCAGGTATATTACAAAAAGTACCCAACTCGCCTGTACAGTGGGGTAAATTGCTCATTTTGCAGCTCATGGTTTCACAACAGAGATTGGCTGGAATATTCCTCAAAAAAATATGCCATCTTCTGCTATGCATGTAGACATTTCGGTCTTGAAAGGGGAGTGATTTGTAAAATATCCATAAAGAAATAGTAAATCTGCTTACAGTTCTGTTTCATATGGGTGTTAGTATCCATAGATCTCTTCATGTTGCTTTCAAAGTGCACCAGATTGATGCTTTTAACTTCAATATTTAAAAAAAAATCTTCCCGGGGGAGCATGTCCCCGGACCCCCCTAGAGGAGGTGAGGACCCCCTAGACTGAGGGTGTTAGGTCCACTCCCCGCTTATAAAATAGCACTTTACCACTGCACCTTCTCTAATCTCAGATGCACCCTTAGTCATTTTGTTCTGGAACCGGGCCTGCTATGGAGAGAGACCTGACAGTCATACTTGCCAACCCTCCCGATTTTCGTGGGAGAATCCCGATTTCATTGCCCTCTCCCGGTTTCCTCCCGGGGTCATATTTCTCCCGCATTTCTCCCGATTCCTGACAAAATCAGATTTACTCACAACTGTTTCAACTCGGACTTTAATACAGCTACACCATTGTTTGGTTTTCATGGTAACGCGTCTCTTTAGTAGCGCGCGCAACTGAAAGTCCGAGAGGGTGTTCAGCTGCATGGTGAGGATTGGAAGCCGCGACTCTTACAATGAAGGCTCGATAATCAGCTCACAGCATATAAAGTGGCATATTGGTGTAAGCAGAGGTAAAGTGCTATGTTACAAGTGGTGGGGGGCGGGGGTCCTCACCTTCTCTAGGGGGGTCCGGGGGCATGCTCCCCCTTCAATGTTTTGTATTGAAGTTAAATGCATCAACCTGGTGCATTTTGAGAGCAAAATTGATTTATGGATACATCTCTCAACATCCATATGAAACAGATCTGTCAACAGATTTTCTTTTTCTTTATGGATATTTTACAAATCACTCACCTTTTAAACTGTATTCTTGTTTTACTGTCATATAGTATTTCATAACTGTTTTTCATTTATTCTCATAAATGGTGACCAAAACGTTTGAGACCCACTGAGATAACAAGACTAAAGTTAACTATCTAAACAGAGAGTCCCTTACCTCACTGAGCTGTATTTATCTCTCAGTCTGACAGGATAGAGAGCTCACCCTTTCCTTGTTTTAGAAACAGCTTCTAATATCCGTTAGCGCAGCTAGCTAACCAGATGCTAACAACAACAATGCAAATAGTGAGTTTGGTAGAAATATACTGTATAATAGTAAAGTTATTTAAGATGATGCCATATTTATTGAAGATTTTACATTATAAATATTCCCCAAAATTATTAAAAAGCATATTCTTCCAAACTCCTTGCTGTAGTATGACACACAGGAGACTATTGATGTGTGTGGTGAGTTTGGTAGTAATAAGCTGTATAATAGTGATTGAATATTATTGTATTCTCTTTTTTCGGAGTTGCACTTTGCAGACGGTCCCTGAGCACTCGTTTCTTCTCCGGCTGCAGATAGAGACTAATGTGTCCAGCTCGGACGACGGCGCGTATTTCCTTTTTTTATATATCAAAATATGATTGTAGTTTGTTGTCAACCTTACCACGGTACTTAGGAGACGTCATTTGTGTCTGAACAACGTTTTGTTCATGAGTTATTGATCCGTGAAATCAGAATCTCACAATATCGTTCCAACTTTACTGAACTAAGCCAGAAGACCGTCTCATTTCGTAGGCCGCTTGGTTTGCTGTTCCTTCACTTTATTTTTTATATTTATATACATTTATTTTGGACGAAAATTTAGCGTGAGGAAAGGCAAGTGTGGCGTGAGTGCGTGAGATATGGGTTAATTGCGTGACTCTCACGCTCAATGCGTGTGTTGGCAGCCCTGAGCATAGATGTTCTTCTCTTTAAAAGTCAGTTTCCCCGCTGCGAGGCTCCGATTTCTGAGGTCTCAAGGTTGGCAAGTATGCTAGCAGCTCAGCTGAACCTCTGCAGAGGTGGTTTTTAGTTTTGAGATAGATAGAATTGGAGGATTAAACCCTCTGGTCACACATACATGCATGCACACAGTATTTACAGTGAAATGTGACCCCTGCATTTAACCCATCCTAGTAGCCTACTAGAAGCTCTGCCTTTATCTTTTTGAACATCTACTATTAGTTATCTTGTGCTGTACTTATGATTCATTTATAATTAATAAACACAAGTATACTTCATATCTATTTATTTACTTATCAGTTGATAGACTGATCATTTTAGGACCCTCTAATTACTGTTGTTTAATTCCTCTTAATACCTGCTGTTTGTGTGCAATATAAAAAGCCAGTTGTTTTATATATTTTGTATAATTCCTTACTGTTGTGTTTAGTGTCGAGTAGTTTCTGGTGTTGTCTTGTCCCCTAAAAAACTCTGTTGACCCTTGGAAACCAGAATATAATGTTATGAAGAAGTTAATGTTTATGAAACAACATATCTGATCCTGGCTCAGTTTGACTCCCCGCTGAGAACACTCATTAACCCTATATATGTAACTGGTTTGCAGTTAATAAATTATCCCTTAATATGGCCAAAACAAATTACATGTTATTCAATACAAAGTCTGAGAGTAGAAATGACTGTATTATACGGATTTGCAATACTGAGATAGAGAAAGTTGGTGCATGTACATTTTTAGGACTCATTCTTGATGAAAAACTCAACTGGAAGCACCATATAAATTATGTACAAACTAAACTGTCAAAAACAATTTTGTATCGTACTAAGAACATTCTCGAGGAAAAAATACTCAGAACTCTTTATAACAGTCTATTTCTCCCTTACCTTTATTACTGCTCCGAAATATGGTGAAACACGTACTCAACAAATCTACAAAAAATAATAATATCTAAAAAAAAAGTATTACGAATAGTTTGTGGTGTTGGTAAATATGAACACACAACTCCCATATTTAAAAAACTCAATCTATTCAAATGTGTTGATATAGTTAAGCTTAAAACAGTACTGATTATGCACAACATTTTCCATAACAAAATGCCTATAACATTCAAAAGCAGTTCCAAACCACAGTCAGGAAATACCCAACTAGGCATCCTATCTGGTTGTGTCAAGCCCTGTAGAACAACCATCAAATCACACAGCTTATCCATAATCGGAGTTAGAACGTGGAATGGACTTCACCCAGACCTCTCAAGTATTACTAGTCATCAACAATTCAAAACTAAAGTAAAAACAATTCTATTCGCAGATTACTCCAGCTAACAAATATTGGATATTCCCAGTATTATTTATATATGCATTTACTTTTTTCTTGCCCTAACTTTTATTTTTATTTTTTTTCCAGTTTTCATTAGTTTTCTTTATTTCTTTGTACTCCTTAATTTCTATACGTTTTTGACAAAATAAATGCCATTGTTATATTGATGCTAATGATGATGCACGGGAGGGCTACTCCCCATAAGCTATGCTTCAGCCCTCCCGCTTCTACTAATTTTGTTCATTTATGTGTATGAATTATACGTTTTTGTAATAAATAACAAAATAAAAAAATAAAAATGAAACCAATAATGTCCAGTTTCTTCTTACCTTTGTCGGAGGAAATTAAAATCTCTGTGGATCTAACAAAACATCATCTCAGAAAGAAAACATTTACAGACTCTGGAGTCTGGACCCTCAGGTGCTCACTCACATGTTTCATGTCGATGTGAACAGAGACAGCGCCTCAGGAGCTGCTCTGGCCACATGAGTCGTGAAAACAGAAAACAGAAGGCCAACAGAACATTTGGAAATGTTGTAGTTCAACAACAAATGTACAGGAACCCCAAAAAGAAGACAAACCAAAACAGTGCTGCTCCTTTTATCACTCAGTCCCCAACATAATGAATCATGTGCACTGAACAGTAAATATACAAAAAACACACCAAACAGTAAATATACAAAAAACACACAGAACTACAACAAACTGCAATCACTGTTTATCAGTGTTGTGTGTGCTCGGTTTTGAGGCGATATTATGAACCACGTAAAGCGGAGGTGATAGGGGCTAGCAGAGCTAGACCTTTTTCTGGTGCAAGGGTATGAAAGGGGCTACGGCTGCTACTGCTTAGCTAAACTTTATGCGGGTTGGATCATTTAACTGTCGCGTGCTGCGCATGGGCAATAGCGCTGCTGATAGGAGCCGACGTGTAGTGGTGGACAACTTGCTACAAAAATGTGACATTTTATGCTTGCAAGAAACTTTTTTACCAAAGCAGGATTTGGGAAAGTTGAACTCTCTTATTAATGACCATGTTCGTGTGACCACCCAAATCAACAACAAATGACCGGATTGGCCCAAATGGACCAATCCGCGGAGCACCTCACACACCAGGATCCCTTGGCTAACTAACAGGGAGTCCCCATTGACTTGCATAGAGCTCCCTGAACGCTGGTAATAGACGAGTTGGGATCGCGGAGAAATGCTCTCCGCAGACCCATTCTCACAGCGTTATAAACCTTTTTCTTACTCAATATCAAGCCACACTTATTGTTTTTACTTCGGCTGTGAGTGTTTGTGTGTGCTCAGGATGAGTTTTGCTTGTTCTCGCTGTATCGCCGACCCGGAAATCTGTCCGCTCCTCGCAGCAGCTGCTTGCAGCAACAAGCTTGCAACGTCCGGGGGGGGGGCAGGAGCTCCAACAAGCTGTTTAGGACAGAGAGTGAATACACATACTATACAGAGATGCTGTAAGAAAAATCAATTAAAACATGTTCATACAATAATTAATACATTTGAAACCTTTATGTATATAACCAACATGTCAATACGTTTTTGTTTTTGTAGTGTATTGGTCTTTTGTAGAGATTTTTCATTTATTCTTTATATATTCTATTGTGTATTGCTTGGAGGGGGGGGGGGCACCAAATCATAATCTCGTCTAGGGCACCAAAATGTCTAGGGCCGGCTCTGCTACGGACCTATCTCTGGGAATAGTGAGAGGAAGGATAGCAGAGGGCGTGGCTCCCGTGGCACAAAAAGCTGGATGCTGTCAAATGTCATCAGGCTTGAAGTTGACTGGTGTATTGCTGTGCAGATCAAAATGAATAACAAGGAGTTTAGCATTCTCAATGTATATACACCGTATGACTCACACCATAATGAAGATGAATACCTGAACAAACTTGATTTTATAAATTCTTTTATTTGTGATAATCATTCCACCAGTGTTTGGGTGATATGAATGCTGACCTATCAGACAAAAGTTCCTTCTTTGCTAAGCATATGCTACAGTTCTGTGATGATAACAATCTTATTTTATCAAGCCAAATACCTTTGCCTACAGATAGCTATTCATATATAAGTGAGGCCTGGCACACAACTTCATGGTTTGACCATTGTATCAGCACTGCTAATGCCCATGACATTTTAAGATCAATTGAGATTGTGTATGAGGCATCCATGTCTGATCACATTCTTTTTGTAATGCCACTAGATTGTGATAGTCTCCCTGAGATGTCTCAGGAGGTTAAAAATGCCTGTAACACTAACGTGGATTGGTCCAAGCTCACAAATGAGGATAGGTTATTGTATTATGGGAGAACTGGGGGGTATACTACGAAGCAGGATTTTCGCTTAGCCGGATAAATTCAGGGAAAACTCCGGCTTTCCGGTCCTACGAAGCTGGTTCTCTTTTTAGCAGGCTAGATCTCCATGGTAACTTATGCTTAGCGGCTAACCTGGTCGGGACCAGGTTAGGTTGCAGGCTAAGAGCTCAACTCAGTGAAAGCACTGCCTGCTGACCAATCAGAGCTCAGTGTGCGGAGTTTAAAGCGATCAAGTCATATTACAGGAGAAAGGAAATACAGAAAAACTGCCGTTGCAGGAAAGACGGCCGGCAAAAATCACCGACTGTGTGAACGTGAACATTAATAGAATATCACCTCCCATCTTCAGAGCAATCTGACTATTATAACATTAGCGTTAAGAAAGCTTACTTAAATATCTGCCACAACATAAGTAACCGGATCAGAGTAACATTAAGTAGCCTACAGTCCGCGGCATATCACATCATAATGTAGGCTATCATATATTTCCTTATCTAAGTCAGCTGAGCCGTATCTGGCCGTGCAACACTCACAGTGTCACATAGGCTACTGTATGCAGAAGTATTATTGTAAGCAACACATTAAGTTGACGAAACACTCGAGACAAATGTAATTAAAGTCAGATCCAATCGTGTTTTAGACGGGGCAGTGATATCATAAACCTGTTAATGTATGCATTCAAACACTTTTTCTTTTACCAGCTGTATTCACCTCGCAGGTGAATACAGCTGGGGCTATGGCTATATGTATATATATATATATATGGCTATATGGCTTTTATCCTGGATAAAGTGTTTAAGTCATGGATGTTTAAAGTTTAACTTCTTCATATGTCTAATATTAAAGTTCACTTTTCATTCAGGAAGTATGACGCTGCGCTGTCAGTACGCTTCTCCATGTTTGTGATTGGTCGAATGCTCCAAATACCACCCCTTTCATGTGAACGCGCACCTAACTAGATAGGACACGGCTGGCTTGAGCGATCCACTTGATAACCCGCGTCGTAGCCTAGTACCGTTTAGCGAGAGCGCGTATGTTTTGGATTAGGCCAACCGGCTAACTCAAACATATCCAGGTTAGGTTGAACCAGCATCGTAGTACAGGCCCCTGATGTCCTATTGAGTGATGTATATCTACCCAAAGTAGCAACTTTGTGTGTTGATGTGGGTTGTAATGAAAGCTCTCACCTTGAATACCTCTGTAACATGTATGATTGTATTGTGGGAGCTGTATGTGAGGCCAGTAGACCGTGCTATACCTACTCTGGGAAGAGACACACAACGTCAAGCCAGGGTGGAATAAACATGTGGCTGATCAATATGCTGAAGCTAAGAATGCTTTTGGGGCCTGGGTCCGGGCAAGCAGGCCCAGAGAGGGGCCTGTCCTGGATCTCAAAAAGCTTACAAATGATAGATATAAATAATAAATATGCAGTTCGTTATGTCAACAAACATACACAAACATTGAGAGCTGATTCTATGGCTGAAAAGCTCCTTCATAATGATGTTACTGGCTTCTGGAAGGAGGTGAGAGCTCTGAACAGGGCCAGTACGTCGTTACCGTGTACCATAGAGGGAGTATCTGGAGCCGTGAAAAGTGACGTTGCGGCTTTCACACCAACGCTTTTCCCTTTCTAGCTCCGAGCGGGAGCTTTTCTGGTTCAGCTCCGGTTTCCCTTTTCTGCTCCCGCTCTGTTCACACCGCCCAGAGCTGCCGCTGCTGCGTCATGACGTCACCGTTTACGTGCCTGCTTCATAAAATCCAAACCGCGCGGAAATCCCTCACATCGACAACAACAACAATGGCCGATTGTATTGAAGCGCTGTTCGCTTTGGTTATCCTCTTACGAAACGAAATGGAAGGCATCGGACGACTTTACAAGGGACGACTTTACTTGGAACTTTACAAACATCACATGCGAAATGCAAGACTTCTTTGTGGTCTTCAGCATCTACTTCTCTGCCCCTGCCCCCGCCTCGAGTGGGAATCACAGCTAATGAGGTTTATCGAGCAATTGCATAGCTAGCTTATAACAAAGCAAGCGGCTCTGACCGAATCACTGCAGGGCACCTTAAACTGGACCTATCATGCTATATTTGAATAATATATTGTAGGGTCATACCTATATAAAACAAGTTCCCATCAGCAAAAACACGTGGGTTTGCTATCCTGGCTCCAAAATGGTGGAATGAGCTCCCCATTGACATCAGGATAGCAGATAGCTTACACACCTTCCGGCGCAGACTGAAAACTCATCTCTTTCGACTCCACTTCGAGCAATATAACTATTAACAAAGCACTTATATAGTGTAGCGACCCTGCATAGGATGTCCAGGGTGTCACTCAGGCATCCCCCGTCTCTCTGCCAATCATAGAGCTGCACAGTGATGCTGGTTGAGGTGCGGGCCTGTGGTTGGGGGGGAGGGCGGGGAGTTGTGACATAGACACTGCTATATATATATGTGTAGGGGTAGGAGTTAGGAGTGTGAGGTTGAACCCACAAGTGTACATGTACCTGTGATCATCTGTTGTCAAACAAGAGTTATTAATGCCTAATAACGAGAAACCTGTTTCCGACTCACCTTGTGAACGCTACATTGGTGTCAGAAGTGGGATTCAACCTCAAAATTGTAAACAACAATGGCGGCGCCCATCAACCAGCAGCAGCCGCCGCCGGGTCCGTGAAAACACCCAAATACTCGGGTAAGGCAGACTGGGAGGCTTTCCATGCCCAATTTGAAATACTTGCACATGCCGGGGGGTGGTCAATAGAGACTAAAGCACTACAGCTAGCTTTGTGCCTCACAGACGAGGCTCTTTCATGTCTGCTACTGCTTAGCCCTGTGGACCGACTCAGCTATGAAGCGTTAGCGGGGGCTTTGAAGAGGCGGTTTGGACAGTGTTTCCCGCCAGAGCTGCTCCGGAACGAGTTGAGTAACTGCTGTAGGGAGTGTGGAGAGACGCTGCGTGCGTTGGCTAACAACGTGGAGAGCCTGACGCGGCGGGCGTATGCACACATGCCACCCGGAGTGCAGAGTGAGCTGGCACGTGATCAATTCATCAGGGCTCTCCGCCCTGCGGACTTGAGGGTCGAGGTACAGCTGCAGCATCCACAGTCCTTGCAGGCGGCCTTGGAGATAGCTGTGGAGAGAGAGAACGTGTGGAGTGGAGCTGCTAGGAGCAGCGGAGTGCCGGCAGCACCGGCTGTGAGGAGCTGCAGGGAGGAGGAGAAGCCTGCATGGGTTACCGAGATGACGGAAATGATAAGGGCTGTTTCTCTGCAGCCAACACACAGACCAAGTACCAGGGTCTGCTGGGGGTGTGGTCAGCCAGGACATTTGGCCAGAGACTGCCCCAAGGCACCCCGGGCCCAGGGAAACGACGGGGGGCCCGCATAAAGGAGAATATGTGGAACCAAGCCCAAAGACTCCCCAACCAAACCACAGCTCTATTGCCACCGACTCAGACATCCGAGGAAGGAGCCCGACAGCACAGCCGGGGGAGCCAGACTCTACGCTCTCCTGAAGAAGATGACAGCACAGGCGTGGAGCCTGTCGTCGCGGTGGGCCGTGCTGGTGGGGACTCCTGCTATGTCCCTGTCGATGTGGAAGGGGTGCCCTGCGCTGCACTGGTGGACACAGGCTCTACAGTAACCCTGGTGAGAGCAGATGTGTTGCCCAGTGGGACTATGTTCGAGCCGACATCGGTGCGTCTACGCACAGTCACAGGAGAGTTGGCGGCTATGAAAGGAAGAGGCGTGCTGTCTGTGTCGGTGGGGGGAGTTGAAGTGCGGCACCCCGTGTGGATAGCGGATGTACAGGACCCGTGTATTCTGGGTTTGGACTTTTTGAAGGCGACGGGCTGCCTCCTGGATCTTCAAGCAGGCACAGTGAGTTTCCGGGTGGGGCCTGTGATTACTATGACCCGTATCCACAACCCTGCTGAGCCTGCGGGGAGACCCCCTACACCCACCGTGAGTACCCTAGAAATCGAGGAAAACCCTCTCTCCGTTCCGGTATCCCCGGTGACGCCCACTCAGGACAATTCCCCACCTGTCACCCCCGGACTGCGCCACCCGAGCACAGCCCCCCCCCAGTTACCCCAGACGGAGGTAGAAGAGGCTCAGTCTGCAGTATTGGAGGTGTGGAGGAAGAACTGTGGCGGCCTAAATCCCGAGCAGCAAGAGCAATTGGGGCAGCTTCTGCTAGAGTTCCAGGGCAGTTTTGCCATGAAGGAGGAGGAGGTGGGCCGAACGCATCTGGTGGAACACGAGATTGATACGGGGGACTCGCGTCCCATCAGGTGTCGCCCGCGCCGACTTCCCCTGGCTCGTCTCCCCTTACCCACAATTTAAAGTAAGTCACACAGACTCTCTCCTCTTTACTCTTCTGCAAGATGTCAGAACAAAGTAAAAAACAAACAATGGCATAAAATATTATTAACATGTCGGGTAGTAATAGATTTATTTATTTTCTTCTCAGTGTACCAGAATGCATAGTTTATGTTAGTATTTCTAAAAATCTCCTGGGGGAGAATCCCCCCAGACCCCCTGCTGGGGTTGGGTTTTCAGCATGTGTGCCTTTTTATATAGTTCAGCTTTGATTCCATCATCTCATATCCCTTATATCCCTTCACAGAACTAAAGCTAAAGACTAAAGCGTTAGTTCTGTGAAGGGATATATGCACTGTACTTCACTTTTCTTAACATTGTATGCTGAAAAGCGTATATATTACAGCACGATTTTTTGTTGAATAGATTTGAGTGCTTCAAAATGTTGGGTCGCGATGTATTGACCAAGTAAAAAGTGGGTCCCGAGGCCTGACCAGTTGAGAACCACTGGTCTAAGGCTCCATTGGAAGCCATTTGGAAAGGGCAGGCACTTTCAGAAGCACTTGGCAGGTGATTGGATCATCATCACCTTCTATCATGGGCTACTTCTGATTGATTAACAATGGCTGGTACATGTGGAGCACAGCACTTCTGATTGGTGTGGATGACTGAGACACAAGAAAAAAAGAAAAAAAAATAATAATACAAAAAAAAAAAAATTGTAAAAAAAAAAAAAAAGTTAAAAAAAATCGCAGGCTTTGCGATTTGATAATCGCATCATTTCAAATCGCGATTTCGATTTAAAATCGATTAATCGTTCAGCCCTAGCGAGGCACGAGCATCATGTTACCATGCTGTTACCATGTCACGCAACCTCTCATTCCCCTGATAGGTGGAGAGTTGCCCATATAGGTGGAGCTCCTTGTTTCTGACGTCAGAGATATTTCAAATCTGTATCAGTCTGTATCAGATCCGTTGCAGCCCCGTTTTTAGAGATTGGGGTATAGAGGAAAAGAGAGAGGGTTGTGTTTTCTGACACTTGGTGAGTTCCCTGACACACCGGGGACACATATTCATGTATAAAAGACGTACAAAAGTGCATTTTGCATGATAGGTCCCCTTTAAACTGGCAAACTCGAAGGTTGCAGTTCTTCTTACCATTTGTTTTACCGGCCTCATGACTCATGGTATGTTGCCGGACTCCATGTTGTCTGTTAGTTTGGTGCCTGTCATTAATAAGGACAAAGCAGGCAAGGTAGGGAGCTTGGATAATTATAGACCAATTGCTCTAGCCAGTGTGTTATCCAAAGTCCTGGAAATAATTTTGTTAGACAGATTATGTTCTTATTTATGTACCTCAGATAACCAGTTTGGCTTCACGGCTAAGCATGGTGAGCTATGCATCTATGCTTTGAAGGAAATGGTAGAAACATATAGAAGACAGAATTCCACTGGTTTTATTGATGCCAAGGCTTTTGACCGAGATAACCATCATAAACAGTTTTTAAAATTGAGACAAAGGGGTGTGCCTAACAGTATAATTAGGATCCTGGCTTATTGGTATGCCAAACAGAGCATGCGGATAAAATGGGGGAATGCAGTCTCGGCGCCATTTGGTGTTAGTAATCGAGTTCGCCAGGGGGGGCTCCTCTCACCATGCCTTTTTAATATCAATATGAATGATCTATCAGATGATTTAAGTGGCTGTAAAACCTTGGTTTTCCAATATTCTATCTGTCAGGACAGATGCTGTCTGTTTGCTGCAAAACTAAGTATCTGGGAAACATCATTACAGATTAAATGGCTGATGATGATGACATGTAGCGGCGTGTCTTATATACACAAGCTAACATGTTGGCTAGAAAATTCTCTTGGTGTTCAGATAAGGTTAAGGTGAACCTCTTTAGAGCTTATTGTACTCCTCTTTATACGGCCCCCTTGTGGGTCAAGTTTAAGAAGGCGAGCCTCCAGAAGCTCCAGGTTGCTTATAATGATTGTTTGCGTATACTGCTTAGAAAACCAAGGTGGTGCAGTGCAAGTGAAATGTTTTGTAATGCACGAGTCAACACGTTCCATGCACTCTTGAGAAATCTAATGTACAAATGTATCTGTCGATTGAATGTTTCTCATAACTCTGTCATTATGCTGCTTTCAAATCCGTCTCTCAGTACTGTACGATACCAGTCACCTCTGTGGAAACATTGGTATAACTGCATTTTCTTATTGATATTTGAGTGTTGTATGTCTTTTGGAAATAATAATAATAGCTTCGATTTCTATAGCGCCTTTCAGGGGACCCAAGGTCGCTTCACAAGTAATAGTGCAAAGACAAACATAACAAAACAAAAGACAGACAAACAGAACAACAGATCGATTTAGGGGCCGGAAGCCTTGGCAAACAGATGGGACTTGAGGGCCCTTTTGAAGGCTTCAAGTGTGGGGATGTTGTGTATCTCCGCAGGGAGAGCGTTCCAGAGGGTGGGGGCTGCCACACTGAAGGCTCTGTCCCCGTAGGTTCGCAGTTTGGTGCGGGGGGTGGTAAGCAGGCCAGAGTCTGAGGACCGCAGGTTCCGGGGTGGGGCATGTGGGTGAAGGATGTCCGATAGGTACTGGGGGGCAAGGGCATGGAGGGATTTGTAGGTAAGGAGGAGGATTTTGTAGGATATGCGGGACTTGACCGGCAACCAGTGTAGGTAGATGAGGGTGGGAGTGATGTGCTGCCACGGTTTTGTGTGCGTGAGTACCCTAGCAGCACAGTTTTGGACATACTGGAGCCTGTCCAGGGTTTTGTTGGGAACCCCGAACAGGACACCATTGCAGTAGTCCAAGCGGGTGGTGACAAATGCATGGACTAGGGTTTCGGCAACCGACTCCGAGAGTGACGGTCGGAGTCTGGCAAATGGACCTAGAGTCTCTTTAAATAAAAATAAAAGCTGAATATCCATAGATTTATTACACTGGCACATGGGACAGACACTTCTGTTTCGCAGTATATAGGTTTTGTGTGAGCTGACAAATGCACACTAACCTTTAAACATTCAACAATAATAAATAATAATCGAAAAACATATTAAACAATAGGTTTTCATCCATTTAGACCAGTGGCTCCCAACAAATGAAACAGGATCCTTTAAAGGGGCCACAAGACAAAATATCTCATCTTCACAGCTGAAGCTTTAATTAAACGTTCTTAATGGTTAAGTAAAAGCATTTCTTGGTTCATACCCATCCATACCTTGGAAAAAGATTTAGGCTACTATGATCAATCTTTATTCAACCAGATGAAAGCAGATAGGATAAAACCTCTGGTGATCTGGCCGTGAAGGCAACCAAGTTAAACGTCAACACATAAATACAAATAATCATTGCTACAGATGAAAGGCAGAGGACCCTGTGTTACATGTCAGACATTTGACTCACTGGGGTTGCCTGGTAATGTTGAAGGGAAGTTGAAATAACAGTTGAATATCTTGTCACTGCTCCTGGGTGGATTAGTGCACCACAGGAGAGTGAGGGGGAGAGGGGGTTTCTATGTTTGGTCGGAATCATTTTAAACATAAATGATCCCAAATTATTACAAGACATTTTAGAGGAACTTGTGAAAAACACAGGTTTGGGAAGCAGAAACATAATGTTTAATCCTGTAAATCTTCTTTTTGGAAAAAGATGATTATCTCTATTGAATATTTTACATGTAGTTTTAGTCTAGCAGTGGGGCTCTTTGGCATGTCATTTTGGTTCACCACTTTTGACCAATATATCTCAACAACATTTGGAAGTAATACCTCGATAATAATATTCCCATAAGTCTTAGCTTACTTTATTGAGTGCTGGTTATCGTCAGGTTTACCAAACATTTGACTCATTCTCTGTTTTTGCACTCGCTACAGACAGCATTCCTTCTTCTCATCTGACTGAGCCATCGGGATAAAGAGGCACTGAGAAATTTGCCTGCCGGCTACGCAGAATGTTACCAAAACATTTACAACAAAAAAAGCTATGCAGTTTTGGGTCAAGAAGTCTCAATCTGCTGAAGAGGAAAACTTCATTGTCCTTTCTGTGATCTCTCTCTGGCCTTCAGGGTTACAGATACAAACTAAATCGTGGCGCTGTTTAACACAACGTCACAAACATTTTGGGGAAAACAACAAATTACTTATTTTCACGTTTGCTAATGAGCAAATTACACTGGTAGATAAATACATGTAACCGCTCAGTCAAGATGAGTCATCAATTTGCGTTTTTCCAGGAAGAGTAGAAGAGGGATTTTTATATAAAAATATTCAGAAATGATTTTTCAACACAAACTACATTACAAGACATACATGAACAAATAAGGTACAGAATAAGAACTTTTATTTGTCATTTAATCGTTTCAAATCATGGTTTTCCCAAATGCCAAGTTCATGTCATGAGAGGCTATCCGTCATTTTGACTAGGAAACGTGGATATAAAATGATACAGAAGTACTTGAAAATTAAACAAATATGGACACCTTATATGTGCAGGATTTTAATCATTATCAAGCCTCTGTTATCATACAGCTGTGTTTATGATGTTAAAGCTTGCAAGTTCTCAACATGGGAATTGTTTCTATCCATAACATCCGTCTATAAACTCTGCATAAATACAGCCAGACTGACTCTTGGTCTTTGATCATCTTCTATAAAACAGATCATTATCAGAAGACACCAAAGCAAAAAGAGAAATGTCTAACAGTTTAACCTTAAGTTGAAGAATTGTTTATTACTATCTTCATGTTCCAGTGTCAGGGGCAGTTTGTTACAGAAAACACCTGACCAAACAAAAAAAACATTGTAACCAAAACTCCCTGAACTGAAATACACTGAAGCCTTGACTTTGATTAAATGTATTATGTCCACACATTTCATATAACTGTATAAGGTTAGTTGAAAGCAATAGTATTAAGTTGAACCTAATATTTTATTTAAACGTAACAGTATTGCTTTCACATAACTTAATGCAGTTACGTGAAATCTGTTGACATAATACATTTAATTAAAGCCAACGTTTCAGATTGTTCAGTGTGCAGCAGATGTAAGTGTTGTTTTGGTATTTATTAACAAAACATTTAAATACAAATCTACTTCTATGGCGACTGTACTTTTCAATCTTGTATTGAATAACCAATACTGTTTTATAGAAGTGACGTTTGGACTGTTCCCAGCAAAGCATTTCGTAGTGGTTTAAAGAGTCAGCAGCTGAGTTAAAAAATCTGATCACTTTTCTTCTCCTGCAGTTCAGACATTGAAACATTCAGTCATATAATTTAGTCATTACATGCATTTATTTGAGAGGAACACATTTGCCATACATATCTTTGTGATTACCAGCACATTTCAATTAAGTTAACAAATTATTATTAAAAATGTCTAAAAATTAAAGCATAACAAACAGTGGGGGCAGACTATCTGTTGGGTGGAGAGGAGCAGGAGGGTTGAGTGCTGCTCCTTTGAAGAAAACAAACAAACAAACACCTGCCTGTTTGTGCCTCAGGACAGGAGCTGGATTTGGGCGGAGACATCAGCTGATCAGATGTGATGTCTTTATTTCTGTCTCCTCTGAGGGAAGAACCACCAGCGCCCTCTCGTGGCCACAGCTTCACCCAGCAGAGTAAACAACAACAACACTTTGATATGAAATAAAGTTTGCTGCCTCCTTGTGTTCGCTTTCATTACTGCACCCCGACTGCTACCATATAGTCAACCATATTTACCTTTCCCTCCAATACAGATTACCCAACCCCCCCAAACACAAAACAAAAACTAAATATTTGCTCTAATTTGAATCTGAAATATACATCAACAAATATGGGGTTACTCTTTAAAAGCAAACCCCAAGATGGAAAATAAATGACAGAATGAGGATGGGGGGTGAAGAAGAACAGGGGGGGAAATAAATCAAGAGAAGGCTCGTATAGCTATACAATAAATAGAAAATAAGTGATTTCTCAAAGCAGCCCAAACAAAACGAAGACTGAATCTCAAGTGGTGAGTTTTGAAGGCAACATGAATGATGAGAGCGGAGAGATAACAGACAGTACCAGAGGAAGACTGGGGGGGAGGAAGAAGGGGGGGGGGAACCATATCAGATATTTCACTTTCCCACAAGTTCTGGGTTTTTCAGCTGGGAGCAAAATGGCCGACTTTCAGGAAGGGTTGTTTTGTTATATTAGTGTAGAGACAGTTGCAGCTCCTCCACATCTGAGGGGGACGCTGATTCCTGAGGGGCCAAAGTGAGCAAAGGGGGAGAAAACAGATGGGGGGAGGTCACTTTGGCAGAGTTTCTTATTTTTTTCCAGAAGGAGCAGAAATGGCCGGGGGAGTAGGGGGACACAGACATAAAACGCTGACATTTAAACAGACATATTAACACCCCCCCCTTAGATATAAAAGCCTCTGACAGCGACATACTTCCCCCTCTAAACACACGCAGGTCCGCTCAACAGGGTCCGTTATTTTTGTCTCGTGACTGTGCCATCAACCCCACTTTCCTCTCATCACCGATATATCTTTGTGTCTTATGAGGAAAAAAAAAAACTTTAATTGCTAGATATTTTACCGAGTACAGTGGAGATCTACACAAGAGGACAAGACGAGGGCTGTGAGGAAGGTCTGTTCTGTCTTTGGCTAGTGTTTTATCCCCCAGCTGTCTTTGCTCTCACGTACAGGCGGCTGCTTGGGTTTAAAGATTGCAGATTGACAAAATGTAGTGATGACAGTGTGATTTTATTCCTTTACCCCCCTCATCCTCATAGTGTGTATATGTATGTGTTTCAGTGGTTGATGTAGTGTGGACGTGAAAGGTTCCTTATTGGTCACAGCAAAGCTCCAAAGTAGATTTGAGTCCTCCTGTGTCTTTCCATGATTCGCTTGTGTAGTGCTTCGGCTGTAACACCAGTTCTTCTGGCCTTTGTGGAAAGGTCGTGTTGGTGGTAAAGTCAAAGGAATGACGAAAACATTGTAGGGCAATGCACGTCACGTGGTAGAGCCAGACAAACTATCCAAGTGCTTTTTGTCTTCACCGTCCCTGTGGGAGCACAAGAGAGAAGATACAGTATTTCTAATTATTCTAACACAACTCAATAATAGCAAACATTATAATCCATGATTGATACAAATCTACTTGAGGGTAAACTCTGATGCCCAATCTTTGCTCACTGTAGTGTCCATTTTTTTGCAGTACATTTTTGTCTTTTATGTTACTTTAGCTGCACCAATACATGCATATTTTCCTTAACAGATGACATCTACTCTATATACTTGACGTGTCTACACTGGTTCCAGCAGCACCTGCAGTCTGCTGTCAGTTTCTTTATTAAATGTGTTCAGCCACAGTACTGCAGTGCAATTAAAACAGTTTGGCAACTCTCACAGGCCAATAGAAAATCACTGTAGTAAAAGACATATTACAAAAATGCTGATCAGGATCCAAAGTAAGTGCAGGTGTAATGGTACTAAAAAATAACACATTGCAATCACAACTACGGCAAGTATGGGGGGTCAACCTTTAGAAAGTGTGTTCGTAGACACACAGTCTGGTAATTATAACTGACATCTTCCTGTTGGAGCTTTTTAAGTGATGTCGCTGTTTTGCCAGCATTACAGTTGAGTAAATGTTATAAAATAGACCCGTTATTCTTGTTTTTATGAAGATATCTTTTGGTCCCTAGGAAGAAAAAGGATATGTAACAACAACAAAAACATCTGCATCGTGGCCATTGTTATTTTAAAGGACGGCATAGGCAAATAATTGAGCAGTCTGGGCTTTCCTACTTTAATAGTCCACAGTTTGTATTTCTACTTCTTTAACAAAATGTATTTCCTGGTTAAGATGTCAGTGAGAAAACATCACATGAGTGATCATTGTGAAAGCACATTAATGGGATTTTCTTTAACGATAGAAAGACAGTTCCATATATAACAGAGAATGGGTGATTCGTATTGTTTTATCAACGTTTTTATTTAGACCAATATTCAGCATGAAGACACTGATGGAGATGAACTACTTTTGAAGATTAGCCTGTCTGTACAGATAAAAGTTTACCTCACGACCTCATGGTGCGTCTCTCCCCGTCTCCAAACTGGCTTCCAGCAGCAGCTCCTCCAGCTCCTGCCCGCAGCTGACACTCACTACACACGGGACACATAGGACAAATTCAACCAAAAACAACTCCAACCTCAAACTAATGCACATGTGACTCCTCCTCCCATAATAAGCAGGGATCGGCGGTTACAGAGACTCACCGTGCTCCATCACACAGCTGCCGGGCTTTGGGCTCTCAGCGTTGAGGAGATGGAGGGAGAACTCTGGCTTCAGGCCGTTGGGTAGAGCTGAAGCGATGATCTGTTCCTCCGGGGCCTCGGCGAAAACCTCGTCCTCGTCCGCAGAGCTCTCTTCCAGTGAGTCTTCGTCTTGGACTGCAGAGACGGACTCGGCTGCGGCAGGTTCGGTCCTCTGTGAGGCGTCTCCTGCTGCAGGGTTTAACTCCTGAGCTGCTCCCTGAGAGACTTCCTCAGTCTGGACAGAGAGGACAGGCTCTACTTCCTGTTCATCGCCCTCAGTTTCCTGCTCTGGATATGGTTCCTCTTGTGTTGGTTGGCTGTCCTCTATATCTGTTAAACTGGGTTTTTCATTTTCTGAAAGGTTGGCTGGTGCTTCCTGTTCTTCCTGTAGTGGAAGTGTCTCCTTCTCTTCTTCTGTTTGGTTCGGCGCCTGCTGCTCCTCTGAGACAGATTCTACCTCCTCCTGTATCTCTTCCTGCTGCTGCTCTGTTTGAACCGCAGGGATACTAGTCTCAGTTTGACTCGGTTCCTCTAACAGTTTACACTCTCCTTCTGTGCTCACCCCTGTCTCACCCTCTAAACGGCCTTCCTCTTCCTTCCCCTCCTCTCCTTCCTCTTTTCCTTCTTCACCAGTGGGCTCATGTGTGGAGTCTTTAATGCTCTCTGCCTCCTCCTCAGTGGGCTGAAGCGCTGCCTCCGGCACTGATGAGGAATCTGAAGGCAGAGCTGGTGCTTGTTGACTGGTGTCGGTCTCCTCTGGATCTAAAGCGCTGGCTGTCACCTCCTCTGAGGGCGGACTCGTAGACTCTGGCTCGATCTCAGTATCTAGCGCTACAGGACTCTCCTCTGCGAGCGTACAGTCTGTTGACGGAGCAGCTGGGGTCTCCTTCACCTCCTCCTGGGTCACTTGTGTTTGGGATAAAGGCGGGGTCTGCTGTGTTGAGGGTGTGTTCACGTCTACAGGCTTCTCTGAGGCCTCTTTCGGCTGGCGGGTGGCTGCAGGGGCTCTCGTCGGAGGTTGAAGAAGCTGAAGCTGCTGCTGCTGCTGCTGCTGCTCAGGGGGGCTCTCCACCCGAGTTACCATGAAGATCTTGTGCCCCCTCCCTGGACTAGAGACGGATATACAGCGCCCAGGAGAAGGAGGGGTCCCGGGGGGAACTGTTGCCTCTGTGACGGTGATGCCTGATATAACACTGGGCCCAGGGGCGGGTGAGGCAGGTGGGGGGGAGGATGTGGCTGAGGCACTGCGGGGGGGCTGGGTGGTCTGGGTTTGAGCAGAAGTGTGGCTAAAGCGAGTGGCGGAGTTTGATGTGGAAGAAGACTTCGTCACCACCTCCTCTCCGTCCTCATCATCAGTGTCCGAGTCCGAGTCCAGGATCATCTGAGGAATGCTCGTCTCGGTGCCCTCTCCTGATTGGCTGACTGTCTGTGCTTCATCTCTTGTTGCTTCAACTTTTCCCTCTCCCTCTTTCCCCTTTGCGTCCCCTATACCCTCTGCTGCCGGCTCCTCTTCTTCTCTGGTCCCATCCTCTGTAGCGATTTCAGCCATGGACGCCGACTGCCTCATCATCTGCTCGGTTTCCTCCTTCTCCTTGGCCAGGATGAAGTTCCTCTTGCAGCCGTTCTGGATCTCAGCCAGCAGGGCGCGCTGGGTCTCAATGAAGCTCTTTACCTGAGGGACAAAAAATAAAGAAATGTCAAAAAGAAATTGGGGCATAAACCACAATAAACAACTAAATCAAAGCAAATCCTGTGTCTTTCTAGCCCTTAGGCTGCTTTAGGTCTTTACTTAAAAACATAATGCTCTTCAAAAAGCCATAGCCAACTGCGCTACGGTTACCTACGGGTTGAGGAGACTTCCAATCTCTCTCCTCATTTCCTGTCCTCTCCACACAGCTATTTATTAAGATACATATTTAGTTAAGACATATTTGCACGCACACACACACACACACACACACACACACACACACACACACACACACACACACACACACACACACACACACACACACACACACACACACACACATCCCCTTGGGGAAAATAAAGTATATCTTATCTTTCCATCTTACTTCCTCTCCTCTATCCCCTTCCCTCTGCATTTCCCCATGCTCACAGTTTCTTTCTTGGGCTCCCGGTCCAGGTCCAGGCGCAGCAGAGAGGTGTTGACTTTGAGAGCGAGCGACAGGGCCATCAGTCCGCCCGTCTTTATCTCATTCTCTCGAAGGTCCAGGCGCAGCAGTCTGGGACTCTCAGCGATGAATTCAGCCACAGCCACAGCTCCTAGAGCACAAACAACAGAAGAAAGAGGAGTTAAAAAATAGCCTAACAGCAAAACCTCCACAAAAAGTGACAGACACTAGTCCCCACCTTCGCAGGACAGTTTGGTGGAGGCGAGGCCCAGCCTGAGCACAGAGCGGTTTCCAATCAGTCCGTCTTTCAGCTTGTGGACCCCTTCGTTACCCACGGAGTTATGGCCTAGGTTCAGGGTCTCCAGACTCTGCGTGCATGGCTGAGGGAGACAAACACACATCAGAGATATTGATGTGTTGTAATGGTGTTTTAAAAAATAAATAAAATGTAAAGCTATGGGAAAAGGCATTTAACTTTTAACATTTCTGTTTGTCAGTGTGTTTCATGGTTTTCAAGAAATGTGTGTACTATCATATGAACCATTTTCAAAAGACTTTCAAATATGTAATGTATTTTATAGGGATGTAACGATACCAAAAACTCACGGTACGATAATATCGCGATAAAAAGTCTACGGTACGATATTTATCGCGATATTGAAAAATAAAGAAAAAAATGTAAAAAAAAAAAAATTATTCTTTTTTCTTTATTAAATAATGAATCTGATTTGTACAGCATTTTAGTAGGATAGTAGTATTTTAAAGTGTCAACAATATAATAATCAGACCCTGCAATAGAATAAATCAAGTTTCACTTTAGTTTTTCAAGTAACTCAACTCTAACTCACTCACTCACCATCATCAAGGTTATCTTTTAGGGATATGATGAGCATGTCCACATTTCCAGGTAGAAGCTGGGATGTTTGGGCATTTACAATATCCCCTGCTGTGGAAAAAACTCTCTTGCTTGGTACTGATGTTGCTGGGACAGAGAGATATGCTTTAGCCATGGGTGACAGCAGTGGGTAAAACTGTGCATTGTCTCTCCACCACTTCAAAAACAATACAGTTTTTGCCAAGAAGGTGAGACTTATTGACAGGGCGAGATATAACTATACTGTTAGTACTTGTCAATGTCTCTAGGTATGTACATGTAGCCCTGTAAATACGATGTCCTTTTGTGTTATCTGTTGTTTTATGTTCATGTTGTAACCTACTTGCTGCCATGTTGGACAGGTCTCCCTTGAAAAAGAGATCGATGATCTCAATGGGACCATCTGGTTAAATAAAGGTTTTTTTTAAAAAACGGTAGATTTTGTCAGTATCACGACGGTATTGAGACATTTATTTACCGCGATATTCGATATATCGTTACATCCCTAGATTTTATAGTTCCGACAACTACAGTATGCATACGTTTAGTACTTTAAAAAACATACATATATGCAGGTTTTTTCAGTCTATTTGATTCCTAACAGTATATCGTTTTGAGAGTCTGTATTAAAGTGCATTTCCTTTCAGACTAGAATGTTCTACCTATTGAGCAGATAATAGAATAATTATCCTGTCTGTGTGTGAGAGCCCACACTGGTGGCTGGAGACCCAAACAAATTCCCTTATCTTTTTCAGTGTATAAGAAATGTCTGTTTCTCTGTTCATTGTCAGCGTAAAGGCTTTCTTATGATACTGTTACTGTTAAATATCCAACGTCACCATCTCACGCAATGTGGAGATAACTCGCACTGTGGTTATGATTCACAGTCATGGGATGTCCTTTATCAGAATGAATAACGGTTTTAAGTGCATTTCGGTTTGTCCTGCAACATCTCACAAGCATCAGCCTTAGACAAATTACTTGGGAAGAAATCTCCAGTATATACACAATCATGATGTGTTACGGGAACACTTTTATGCGTCATCATTCTCCATACATAACATCTAAGAGGTTGAAAGCATTCATTTGGCTGTTTTTGTTTGGTAAAATCATTTCAGCTCTAGTGATTTCTCTAAACATGCAGAATTATAGGCATTCAATAATCGCTTACAAACTTGCGAGTTGGTTCTAATAATACGACACAACCGTATTAAAATGGCCGACTTAATGTAGACGCTGTCCTACCAAAACAATGACTGTGATGATAATTGTAATTGATTATCTATGTCAGACTGCTGTGAATTAAAAACAAGATGATGAAGAGAAATGGAACACGCTCCCAACTGTTCACTTGAGTGTCACACGTAGTACTGAGGAGGCCACGCAGAAATGTCCAGGAGAAGCAGACATCACAACCCTTATCTACACTGCAGAGGCATCCCTCACCTCACACGTTTACACAGGTTAATCAGGTAATGGTTTCTCTAGTGAAATGCATACATCAGGCATGAAAACGGGTCAGGGGTGAAAAAGGTGAGAAGGATATTATCCCTCTAGGGGGGTCCGGGGGCATGCTCCCCCGGAAGAACATTTTGAATATTCCATATTTTAAAGCATCAATCTGATGCATTTTGAGATGCATTTTTTTGCCAACCTGGGGAGAGCTGGAGAAACTTAACTTCAGCCATGAGTCGAAAACATTATGGCCTCCTTACTAAGTATTATCAGGGATGCAAACTCATCAGGTATGGAAAAGGTGACAAGGACCCGAGCCCCCCGACCCCACGGAATATCGGCTTTAAAATGAGGAATAACAGAGGATTTTAGCAGTCAAAACAACTAAAGCAGCAGTGTTAATAATAACAGAAACGCTAAAGTGTCACATCTAATAGAAATATATAAAAGCATTTATTTTAATTGTGTAGCAGTCAGTTTATAATTTTGGCAGCACTGTTGAGCATTTTGAAAATCTATTGTCATGCCTCTGTGCAAGGCTTAGTCTTTCTATCTTTATGGCATCTGGTGTAAAGTAACTAAATTCATAAACTCAAGTACTATACTTGGGTACAATTTTGAGATACTTGTACTTTATTTAAGTGTTTCAATGTTTTGCTACTTTGTTCTTCTTCTCCTCTACAGTTCAGAGGTAAATGGTGTACTTTGACTCCACTACATGTATTAATACCTTTAGTTACTTTACAGATGTGGATGAATGATGTGAAATCTAATCAAGTGTTGAATCAGACTTTAGTTCCACCTGGAGTAAATCCACAAGCTACCCTGCAGTATACAAAGTCATTCAAACTAGCTGCACCTTTACCAGCTTTGAGAACACTTTCATGATCAATCATTATAAAACACATCATATATATTATTCTGAAATGGACCAATCTGCACAACGACTACTTTTACTGTCGCTACTTTCACTATATTTTGATGAGAATACTTTTCTACTTTTACTTGAGGAACATTTTGAATGCAGTACTTTTACTAACAGAGTATTCCTACACTCTGGTACTTCTACTTTTACTCAAGTACAAGACCTGAGTACTTCTACTTTTACTCAAGTACAAGATCTGAGTATTTCTGCTTTGAATCAAGTACAAGATCTGAGTACTTCTACTTTTAATCAAGTACAAGATCTGAGTACTTCTACTTTTACTCAAGTACAATATCTGAGTATTTCGGCTTTTAATTAAGTACAAGATCTGAGTACTTCTACTTTTACTCTAGTACAAGATCTGAGTGCTTCTACTTTTACTCAAGTACAAGATCTATACTTATACCACCTCCGTTTATAGCCTATGAAAAAAAAACTATTAGAAAACGAAGGCTAAAGCTAACGTTAGCAGATAGTGACAATGTATGCTAGCTAGCTAGCTCAACGGTAATATTGCGACAGAAAAACTTTTCAGTGCACATCACGCTCTGAGCTCCGACAGGGAGCTCTGCTCTGAACACCTGAACGGCCCGTTCTAACAGCTGTTCAGCAGCGGTCCAGTCTGTACCACAGTGACTCCGGACCGCACAGTTAATATTAACGAACGCACCCGTAGGTAATGTAGCTGCTGAAGCTAGACCATCATCGCGGAGCAGCAGAGCCGACAGGCAGGAAGACTCGAGCACACAGCTCGCGCTGCATTATAATATATAAAAAAAGAACACCATGCGTGTCATGATGGCACATAACAGCTCGCGGCCGCAGATTACTCCGGGTCCCAGACCCCCCCATACCCCAAACATATTTTTATTGCAGATCTACATGAATCACACAAACGACCTATTTTGGATTCAAAACGGCGAATTTCACCGAAAGGTGAGTGATTTTCATGCCTGATACATGAGTCATTCATCTAAGAATCAAAGACGTTCAGACACTAAGGAGGTTTAAAAGAAACATGATCAAATAATGTGTTCAAATCAGATTATCCCTTTGTTTGACATTGACATTAATGTGGAGCAGCTTCACTCTCTGTTGACAGTGAAACTGTGTATGTGTGTACAGGGCTTTTATTGTGAAAGGTAAGAGCAGTTAATGGTTACTGTGATGTTCTTTACAATGTGGGATCAACTAACGAGTTAGCCGTCTTGGTTCAGACTACAGATCATTATGTTATTTTATTGCCTTCCTAAGCAAAGACTTAACTCGAGTGCTATCTTCCTTTCCCAGAAGTCAAGAGTGGGCTTAAAGTGCGGCTAATAGGGAACAAATATAAATGCTTATGATGTCATTATTCTACAGCAATTTCAGTGTGCAAACAACATTTATTTTATAATGCTACAGGAAGGAAAAAAACTGCATTTATTTCCACTTTTTTAGGTTTTAAGAGGTAAAAACTCACATTTGATTAATCTTAAAACATCTGATAAGTGTGTGTGTGAGTGGATGTATTGTCCCACAGTGTGTTTGTGTGTGTGTGTGTGTGTGTGTGTGTGTGTGTGTGTGTGTGTGTGTGTGTGTGTGTGTGTGTGTGTGTGTGTGTGTGTGTGTGTGTACCAGTGCAGCAGCGAGGTAGCCCATGCCATTGTGTGTGAGCTGGTTGTTCCATAGCACCAAAGTGACGAGGCCTTTCCTCTGCTCTTTTAGCCCTTCACACACGTAGGCCAGACCTGCGGTGACAAACAGAGGCAGACACATTTAGTACATCTGTGTTTAAAATATCAAAATATCATGAGAATTATAAAAAATGTGAAGTGTTCTGGTCCACTAGCAGCAGCTTGAGTGCACTTTTGCATTGCTTTGTTAACTGTATAAGATTAAAAGTTTTAATTTACAGAAGAAAAATATTATAGTTATTTTAAACAATTTTGATGCACTCAGCTATTCTGTAACAAAACAACAACAACATCACATCCTATGTATTTGCATGCAGAAGTGCTGAGTCTGAGAAGAAGAGGGAAATTACTGTATTTATTGGTGGAAAAGTTTAAGAGAAAGCAAATAAAAGGGCTAAATGTAATACTTTGCTGTTTTGCTGGGAGGCAAAAAAGTAAGTTAATCATATTGCGTCTTTGGGTTCAAGAAAAGCACTTTAGAAATAAAATATATTATTATTATTATATTGTGAATTTCAATGAAACCAAATTATTATAACAAAGTTAGACTGGTGATGTGTTTAACGCAGTGAACAGATGATCAAAATCCTTATTGCTTTGTGCTGCAGCTATAGAATACACAGAGGCACATTTTAAACATCTGAGATCAAGGCCCACTGGTTTCTATTCCCCTGCATGCCACAATACTGTGTATAAAAACATGCTCATATGTAGAGTAATGAGTATTTTATGTATCTGTACAATACTTGCATGGGTTTTATTATGTTCTGTTTGTTATATTATTTTTGCATTTATGTGGGTCAATATACTATCATTTTATCTCAGTTTGTGAACAAGGCAATTAATAAACACGTCTTTTTAACCAAATAACGCAAACTAAAAACAGAAACTGCTACAGTGCATTGTACCAGAGTCCAGGATGTGGTTGTTGCGCAGGTCCAGGATCTGAATGTTGTAGTTGAACTTGAGCAGGTTGCCGAGTTGAGCCGAGTCCTGCAGGCCGTTGAGCTTGTTGTCTGCCAGGTACAACTCCCGCAGGTTCATGTTCATCTTCAGAGCCGTGGCTGTCCGGAAGAATACATTATAAAAGGTAAGGTGCAGGAAGAAGAAATACAAAATGTCAGGAACAGAGGAACACATTCAGAAATGGGGATTATCAAACACTGGGTTGAAAGAGAAAGCACTCTGGGAATCTTACACAGTAACATGAGCGGTCTGCCCGACAGACCGGCGTTCTCCAGGTGGAGCACTGCCAGGCTGCCGCTGATTCTGAGCGCTCGTGCCACAAAGGGAGCCGAGTGGTCCAGCAGAGGAGTGTTGCGTGCATCCAGGTACTGCAGGGAGCTCGTCTGAGGGGGAAACACCAGCAGATATTCATTTACCATGCAGGATTAAAGTTGCCAAACTCTTCTTCCAACCTACAAAGCACTAAATGGAAAGGCACCATCATACATAAAAATATCTTTTAATCCCCTATTGTCCCTCTAGGCCATTACGCTCCAAGAGTGCAGGTATTTTAGTAACTCCCAGAGTCCGGAAACCAGATCAGGAATCAGAGCTTTCAGTTACCAAGCTCCCTGGCTCTGGAACCAACATCCTGTTTTTATTAGGGAGGCAGACAGTGTGCAACATTTTAAGAGCTTGTCGAAGACTTTCCTTTTTAATAAAGCCTTTATACTTGGAGCTGGTTTTAGATCTCCCTATGTTTGTCATCCTGACTCCATTTTATTAGTATATTATTTAATTGTTTTTACTGTCTTTTTGTTGTATTTGATCTCGTTATATATTTATGTGGTTCTTAGGTTCAATAAAACATGTATACAGACAGAGAGTACATTCAACAAGTGAAATAGAGATTGATATGAGCGTGTTTTGAGGATTTTAAGCAATCAAGTATGACATTAGGTGACCTATAACATCTGGCTAAAACACAGACATATCCTTTGTCCTTTATTCCTAATCCTGTATAACCTCTTGTTAGCCGTGATAACAGCGTTAACCACTGAACAGTTAGGAGTCAATCAGATTCCATAAGTTAAACATTATCAAATGAACACTGTTGCCTCGATGAAATAAGTTCAATGTTGGTTTCCATGTGTTACATCCTCTGCCTCTCCGCAAGGAAACAAAGACACTCTTGTCAAAGTATAAGTGCGTTAAGATCTATTGGGCTTTACTGAAATGAGCTACTGTGGCTTTTTATTGACCGGCAATCCATACGCTGGTGTCTGCTCTTCATTAATCATGAGGCTGGTAAGAGTGTAAAGGAGTGCCGTTTATAAACCCTGATCAGATGAGAAATGAGCTTCTCACACAGTCATGGTTGTGATTAAAATACCACTGAGGTTTGGTTATGTATCATTAGTTCCTGTGATTATTAATTGGCTGTTTTCCCTTCAGGAAGTTAAGTAATGAACTACATCTTAGATAAACAAATAAATAGGCCACAATATATATAAATAATAAAGACTGACAAGTAATTTGTGGTTTGGCAAACAGATTAATGTTGTTCACTGCCGTGCACAACACAAAACAGCTCCACAAGCTAGCTCCCTAATATACTTTACATTATCTTTTTATTGATTTAACATTTGGTTTAGTATTGTTCTTTACAAGTATCATCTAACGCTTCTTCTTACACCTGGAAATCACAGTATTTGTTTGACTTCACCCTCTCTATTTGTCTGAAACAAAACAACAAGTTTCTTCACATGGTTCGTTTCACAAAATCTAACCAGCAGCTGTTGGTATCGATGTGTCTTCCCACACATTTTGCTCGAGAGGTTGAATGAATGTGTTTGCATGGAAAACCATTTGAATATCGACATCAGTGATGATTGATGTTGAGGAGCATCATGATAGACGTGAGGAGCAAGCGAGGAAAGCTTGAAACCCTTATGTCTGAGTGACAGAAAACAGCCCAGCAGGAATTTAGCCAGAGATAAAAATCTATGATTAGATCGATCTACTCTCCTGGGCACAGAGCTACTAACTGAAGTAGAGACTTAACGTCAGAGGTAGTTGGGACAATACACCTTCTTTTCGGCAAAACAAAATGACATAGGATAAAGTATTTGGCCTTGCCACTGAAGAAGACAAACACTCAGACCGGTGTACTTTTTCTTTTACCTAGAATTGTCCGCTATAACTCTCCCCTTTGAGGAAAGAAAATCACTTTCATAATCCTGTTTACTCTAATTTAGCACAAAAGGGGCTTGAAATGGTTGCATGCCACTTTCTAAGAATACATTAATAAACGCATGATACTGACCCTCGTGGTCAGTTATGAAGCGAGCTGCAACTGTTGAAACTGATATCATTCGTTGTAGGAATCCAAAATTACACCAAATAGCTACAACAATGTGCAGAACAGTAGTTTTCTTATTCTGTACATATTACACCAAATTGTAGTATTCATAACGTTTATGTGTTTGGTTTTGTATTTAAGAACGAATTTTGTGTTTTTTCCATCTTAAAAAAAAATCCTGGGACCATTTTGGGGTAAAAGTGTCCTCACGTTAACACAGATTTTTGTTTTTGGATTGGAGTACTTTGTTGATCCATAAATAAATCATATCCTTTCCCATCATGTCCCTTTTCTCTGCAGACGATGTTTTCCACTGTAGAGAAGGATGGTCTCTCACCTTTCTCATCATGTGAGCTGCGGCCTGCCATCCCCGGGTGCCGATGTGCTTGTTGGAGGAGATGTTGAGATGTGTGGCGGACTCGTAGTACTCGATCATGTCAAACAGAGCTGACGCACCCTGAGGAGCACAGATGGAAAATAAGAGGAACATATTATTTACATTTCAGATTGAAATCATACAGTTTTAAACAAAGTCGCTGTGTCAAAGTCCTTAAAGGGATGTTAGGTGATATAATGTGGAGCAGCTGTAGTTGCCACGGTAACAGTCCCTGGGAGTAGGTGAGGTACGGTCTATAGTTGCAGATAAAAAGTGAGTGGACCTTTGAAAAAACTGCTACCGTCTTCTAGATATCATTCGGAATGAAAGTTAGAGTAGGGCTGTGACTGACTTACTTTCACTATTGATTAATCAGCAGAATTTTTCCTCGATTCATTTTTTTGTATTAAAAGTAATTGAACATTCGGCAAAGATTTCCCAAAAAGCTTAAAATCCTTACATTTTGAGAACCAGCAAATATTTGCCTAAACATAACAAGTTAACTATAACAACAGTTGCCCATGTGTTTAATCTTGTATTTGTTGTATTTAACCAATCCATTGTTTAAAGCTATGTTCACAAGATAAATGCAAAGATCGGCATTTATGACACGCCTTGAAATTGTGCAACAACTTGGTGCATGTCGTCTTGTTTGGCAAAGGAGCAGATTAAGGATTTAAGTCGATTGTCAGGTGATGCATTCAAAGGCCTCATGTGATCACAGTGGTTTAATCTCGTTATAGTTGTGGTAGTGGGGATGCATCTCTCTCATCTATCACAGATTCACAGACTACGTGAAGGTGTTGACATTGGAACTACCTTTTGTTTTTTTCTCAACAAGTTATTATGTTTTAACAGTAAAATTAGCTATTGGGTCTTGAGCAGTCATGAGAGGATTATTTGTCCATTGCGTCTTCACACAGCCACAGCTAAAACCTCAACACATCAAAAACCAAAAGCCAGTGGTGAGTTCTCTCCTGTGCAGCCAATGGCAAAATGTAACAAGCAGATTAAGAAGGGAGTATGAGTGTATCCTCCACTGAAGCTGATGAGAAGTAACACAATCAGACCGGCTGCAGCATTGCGTCTCATAACCTTTCCCTTTTGTGTGTGTACACTTGGAGACTACACACAAGTGTGTTTATCTAAAGAGTGGGAGAAGATTAGTCACAACCAGCCAAATAAAGGACAGTCTGTGTTAATGCTCCCTTAAGCTTCTTAAAACATATCTTCAAAACTATTTCTCTTGCTTTCATCCTCCCATATCATTCCCAACAAGACGCTGTTACTGTTGCTCTGCCAAATCACACTGTATGTCTGTCACTCCCATCTTCTCGCTTCCCCATTTGATTCATCTTCTATCTCTCATGACTCATTTCCCCCATAAATTCCTCTTCTCCTTTCAGAGTTTAATTCAAACTGAGCCCAAAGGGAGACACTTGTCACAGACTGAAACTATGATGACTCAGTCACTGGCTCAATTATCTCATTCATGTATATTTCCAGGGCAGAGCTTCATGTTGGTGGAAAAAAGTGCATATGTCACTCTGCATTTGTTGAGATTATGTGAAGCTCTGGATTGTGTTGAAAAAAGTATATGTAAATAAGTAATATATAAAGAAACCAATTAAGACTTCCGACACTTCAATTCTCTAGTGATTGGTTGCAAGTGGAGTATAATTACACAATAAAATGTACCTGCATGCGACTGTGCAAAGCCGGACATAAATTCACCTAGACGGGGTGCTATATTTGTCCATCCACATATACACATCCAGCCATTTCAAGTCAAACACAAGTAGAGAACACGTGGCTTGAAACTACAACTAAACATTTATAAGTGAAATAGTAGAATACCATCTGCAGTGTGTATCCTGGTACATGGCAAAGAAAAGAAAAAAACGTTATTAACTTTCCTGCAAAAATTAGGAAACACCTATATGACAGTCTCAAGGTAATGTGGCAGCTGACCAAATTATCCTTTGATAACAATTATAACTAAAGCTACAAGCTAACAAGCTGCAGGAAATGAGGGTCTGAATCAGTTCTGCAGCAAACGGGTGAAAGTACTGACATTTCTTTGCCAGGAATAGAATAATGAGCAGTCATTAAAGTGAGCCTTCCTACCCTAAAGAAACGTATCCTATGTGGCGCTGGTTTAAAGCAGAGCTCCTATCTGTGCGTCATGTGTATTTGGAGCTTTGTGTGAAAGGAAGTAGCCAAGGCCTGTGTCCCTCTGCCCCACACTGCGTCTGTCTGTCTGTGCGTGTCTACAGCCCAAACGTCCCTAATGGTGTTTACACAAATGGACGTCTGGAGTAATCAGAAAAGCCATGACAAACACCCGACATCCTGCCAGTACAGAGTGAAAAAGAGGATCAGCATGCGACCGGGGGCAGAAACAGAAGACAGAGAGAAAAGGTGTGAGTTATCGATGAAAGATGGAAGTATGCTAGCTGCACTGAGGAAGATGAAGGACGGGAATGGGATGGAGACAGTTTTCAAAGACAGGATCTTCTTACATCTTCTTCCAGGTTGGTCTGCTCCAGGTCTATCACTTTAAACTGGACCCTCTTCAAAATCTCCTCCAGAGACTCACATGCTTTGTAGTCCAGCTTCTCACCTAAAGACATACATTGATAAAGTGAATCTCCCAATTTAGTAAAAAGAAGTCTTGGTATCTGTTGATTCCCACAAGTTGAATTTAAAGTCAAGCTGATGTATTGGCACTTACCTTTTAGATCCAAGCATTCATTGCGCTGAGTCAGGTCTTTCAGTTCCTGCAGAAACAAAAATAAACAGTGTCAGTAAGAGTTGAGTTTGTGTATTACTCAAAGTCAGCAAACTTTTCACGTGTTGAAACTTTCACATCACACAGGAGGCAATGCATTAGTGCACAGATCTAAGATAAACCTTTAGTGCAAAGACAAGCATCTGGCCTTAAAGCACCTCAACTATCTTATGCCAATGAGCATGTGTGTTCAACTTGACCATGACATGTATCCTGTCATGTACTCTGACACCACAGCAGCACAGAAAGATATTTCACCTCTTGTCCTGGTAAAACATGCAACCAGCCCAACAACATAGAGTGCTGCTCTAAAAACTATGTACCAGCAAATCCCTCTCTCTAGTCCACTGCCCGGCGCATTCAGCATGAACCCTATAACCTCTGCCCTCGTGCCAGACTGCCATCCCTAGTCTGTGCGTGTCTGAACATACTGATGAGGGTCCAGCTGTACAGACCTGTATGGCCTCCTGCATGACTCAACAATGCTCAAAAACATGATCATGGTGTGTGATGAAACATTTCAAAAGCTTCTGATTACACTGAGCAGGAAACACTATGATACTAAATGTAACCGACTGTAGTAGTCATGAAGATAATTCATCTATGAAACTGACTGAATCATTCACTCTAGGAAGCATTACATGAGACACCATAAATGGAACATTTCTCCAGTGTTTTCTCACTACCTTCTGTGAAATATGGTTTAATCAAAAACTCTGGATGTTCGTCATTAACCAGATGGTGTTGAATATGTCAATACAACCTGACGCACATTTTGGGAAATTTCACAGCAAGCAGTCTTTGTTTACATTTGAATGGAGCATCTGTCAGTGAGAATGACTTATCAGTGTAAATGCCTCCCTGACAGAGCTGCCAGAACCCAAAATAGTGCATGACGCATAGTGTGCCTCTGCACAAGTGGTGGTATGTGTGTGTGTGTCTATTGTGGGTGGACACCATCAAGCAACTGTTCTGACCTTGTTCTTTAGATTCTGTGCTTCTATGTTATACATCTTCACTGTTTTCATCAGTTTTTTACTTGATCAAGTTTGTTATAGTTATTGTTATATGCTTCAAAACCAATTTCCTTAGCCTGAAGTCAATAAAGAAACGTGATACCTCGGGGTGTATAGAAAACACAGGTGGAGATGGATGACATAATTTCCTGTGACTGTACAGTTTAAGCTTGGCATAGACTGTACGATTTCAAACCATTTCTCAAGGCTTAAATCGTACAGTGTATACTGAGCTTTTGTCCAAATGTATGAGCAGGCCTTTCCATAATCCACGCCCCTTAAAAGTTCTCCTTTAAAAGGTCCTACCTTACAACCATAGAGAGAACGAGTTAAGATAGAAAGTCAAATGTTGTGTTAATGTCTGTTTGATTTTTAGATCATCACAAAGACGGGAACAAGCTATCCTGGCTCTGTCTGAAGGTACAATCTACTAACACCTCACAATTTCTAATTAAAGAGACAAGTTAACATTCAATGCCAATTTGTAAAAAGTACAATTCATTCATTCAGTGGTGCATCAGCGTTCTATCATCTAATTCACACGGACTCCGTCACGATTGGTTGTAACTGCCGGTCTCAGACATCTGTCAGCAACAGCAGGCTAACCTGCCTCCATCAGGCTGACTGACAGTAGAAATGTAATAAACCAAACTTGTTTTATTGTGGCTCCACAGGAAGAAACCAACAACTTTAGACAAACTGGGAGCTTTGATCAATTATTGCATATATGGCTAATAAATTCAAAACATTCTTAAATAGGAATATTTAGGAAATTTACAGATTAAGATTCATCAAACCCATCAAAATAGACTTGAAGCGACAAATTCCCATCTCAATTAAATGAACATGTCTGTTCTTGGAGATGCACAAAGTGGACCAAAACACTTCTAAAAATGCCTTTCGCTGTTGAGTGCAACACATTGAAAACACAATTTTAGCTGCCTGCCTTTGAAATGGTTTATCAGTCTGTCTAGACGACATCAAAGGGTCCACTTGGTTAATATAGATGCAGCCTGCATGACCTTCACATTGTGTCTCTAATGAAAATGTTAATATGTCTCACTGCTTGAATGCCATAATAAAAGCAGGAAACTCTGCAGAATGTGGATGTTGACAAGTCTCAAAATGTTCATGCACAGCTAAATATATTAACACATTTTGCATAGATTTACAGTATACTCCCTGCAAAACAAAACTACCTCCTTCCAGATGAGCTACGATAGAGGGAGCAAGTTCCGGGATATTTAGAGGAATAAAGTGTGCACATGGGCTGCGTGTGAGTCATTGCATAACAGGGAAACCACTTGTCCCTGAGGGAATTGCTGCAGCAGAAATGTGACACAAGGCTACCAAGTGTCCGGGTCTTAAGACTGTTGGGAGTAACTGCGGAGCAGGCATTCAACATGCAGCTTCTAAATAGTGACCCTTATAAAAACACACAGAAACACAAACAAACTACCAGAAATGTACATAACCTATCGGGCCCCTGGAACGCTGCCACGCGTACAGCGCAGTTGGACTTAATAAAGAAAGTATTTAGTGTAGAGGGAAAAAACTGTAAAAGGCGGAGCTCCTCTTGCAAACCCCCCTCACACTGGTCAGCCATTTGGTCTGACTGGCTTGTTTATGTGGCTTAGTTGGCAAGGATGACTAAGCAGAAATGAGAGGGGGCAGCAGTGGACCAGAAGACTACAGAGGCAGCGAGGGATGGACGGAAGCCAGACATGAGCAAACATGAGCAATCACCAAGCATCACAGCCTCTTGTGCTTTTCCACAAGTAACTGAGACTTATTTCTCTCAGCTGACCAGGCGTGTGGAGACTTCATGCAGAGTCTCTCTCGGATCACAAATGTGTTCCCTTCAACATCCCCTCACACGCATGGACACACACCTGCAGGTACACATGTGCAAATCTCCAGTGGAGAGGCCCAGTTAAGGGTTTTAAGAGTGTGTGATGCAGCAAATGTACATCAGAAGAGAAGCACTGCCACTCCTCCATCTGACTAGAGGGGAATTGGTTAACGGGATGTTCAAACACAAATACCAGCAGATAACAGGCAGCTATCTGTTTATATAAACACAATTCTGATTATCGAATATATGTACATTACATTTACAGAATCACTGGGGTATTTATTTAATACAATCTTTTTTAGACAGAGGCTTTCATTTGAACAGATTGTTATTTTTTTTGACACTTTAACCAAGCCGTGGGGAACCTCCGGCTTCCAGGCCGTATACGGACCGCGAGACCATTTGGTACGGCCCTCGAGGTAATTTATAAACACACGCAAAAAAGAAAGAAATTAAAGAAATCTAGACCGCAAAAGAATTAAACAAGCGAGTGCCTGTTTTTCCTGGCCAAGGACAGGTTCCTTGAACACAACACGAGCCTAACATGGTATATGTCTCGTCTGACAGGGGTGTAGCGCTGACGGAGAGCACCAGAACGCCGCTCCGTACACATGTCGCAGTTTTTGCATGGCTGTGTCTTTAGTTGAAAGCCCAGAATCTGCTCATCTGTCATACTGATCATACAGTCAATAACTTTGTTGTTATTAGCATCTGGTTAGCTAACTATGCTAACAAATATAAGAAGCTTTTTCCACAACCAGTGAGGTAAAGGCACATCTTTATATGATTGCAGTACTTAATTCAAGCGGTAGTTTTAAGTTATGGACAGTATACCTTGAGGTCATGCACCCGACAAGCATTTGAAATATTGTCTGTCTCACATGGCTTGTCTCCGTCTGGCCACAAAAAACAGGAAACTTGCTCCCATTGCTTCAAGAAAACTCTACTAAAACTCTCTTATATATTCAAAACATGGACCATCCTCTTGCATCAGGTTACCAACATCATTAAAAGTGGGTAACAACAAGTGGACAGTTTTATGTTGTCATTCTGCTTTACGTGACAAAAAAGCTTGAAAAAGTTAGCATTTGAACATATTAATAATCACAATACAGATAAAGGACATACAAAAGCACAAGTTTGGAAGGGACACATGACTGTGCCGGCTAACCGACAAGAGAAGTTAAAAAAAAGACATGAAACACTCATCTGTCTGTTGGAAGTAACAACCACTCGAGGCTCACCTCCACTGGATACTATCGTAGCACCTGACCAGTCATGCCATGGTGCATCATGTCGTGCCTTCAAACCACATTACTTGCCTTTAAAGTGCTTTCCTCACCAGAAGCAAAGGTTTAGGATGTAGTAATAACCAACCTCACAAATAAAAATCGTTTTCAATTACAGCAGTTGTAATAACTCTACGACTTAGTTTCCAGCCAGCTGCACAGTGCTGACTCAACTGGACTAGTATCTATTATCATACATGTTGTACAGCTTTGTGATATACGTAGTTATTTGCACTTCAGAGGTTTTGACTTTGCCCAGCTTGTACACTCTAGACTCGAGTCTAGACATTGAGAGGCAGAAAGTTAGTCAGGACACACTCCAGCTAATCTCCAGCTAAGGTTGTCAGTCAGTGAACTTCATGTTGCTTGATGTGAGCAGCACGCCCCCATGTCTACAGCTCTGTCAATACATGATACATGTTAATTCTCTGAAATGGCTTTTGCAAAACAATTTAATTTGCCTGCTTGGTTACCAGTAGGGATGCTCCGATCCGCCCACTAAAGGTCAGAACTAGGGATGCTAGTTCGATATCGGCCGATACTCACTCTCTGCCGATCGATCGGTGCTCTCTAAAAATGCCGATCGTGAGAGCTGATCGCATGACGTACAATGATGACGTAAAATACATGACCCTTTTCTCTGTGCGCGGCAAAACAAGCTCGCCAAAATGGCTTCACTGGTCTGGCAGTATTTTAAGGTGTCCGAAAATGACAATAAAATAGCGGTATGCAACGTGTGTGAAGCAGAAATCCTGCAGCTCCACCCACTGTGACGGACCGGTGACCGGTGACCGGTGACCGGTGACCGGTGAGCGGAGCGAAACACACACTAAGAGTTAGACCTAACACACTTAGCTATTTTATCTACCTCTGGAACTAGCTAAACTAGTTGTTATACATATATTTATTCTTCACTGTCGGGTCACTCATTACTGGATCAGTAAGCTGCATGAGTTTGAAATGTATCGATTCCGGTTTCGGTTCTGCTTATCGATTCCGGTTCTTATCGATTCCCCGTTTCGATTCCAAAATTGTAAAAGAAAGAGGTCAAACGTTTAGATAACAAAAATATCTTTATTCTTTTAAGCTTTAACTGAAATTGTTACAAATAAAAAATATACATGCAATACAAATGTATTGCACAATAGCTGTGCTTTATTTGAACTGAGCTATGCCTGTGGCAAGCTATTAACAGGCATTACACTGTGCCTTGTCTTTTTCTTTTTTAGTGTAGTGGAGCCTCACTTCAGAGCGTTTACCGCGACTCATCTTTGGTGTTATGAAGTGGCTGAGCTCGTGAGCTGTCTACGGGAGGGCGGGGGAGCCTCGCTGCGGGGCAACTGGAGACCTCTGTCGCCTGTCAGCGCAACTTACATGAAGTTGAGGGCGGTGCCGGCCGTCAGCGAACCGAGCCGGCCGTCAACGGCCCGCTGAAGACCGGCCGTTCTGTGATTCTCCAGGTACGCCCTGTATTCCACCGGGTCACCGCGGCGCAGACGGACCCGCTGGAATACAGGGTCTACCGCGTTTAGGAACCGTTAAGCAGAACCGAAATTGTGTATTTTGTATGGGTACCCGGTACCCGGCATTTTCTTATCGGTTCTCATCTGGAACCGAGTTTCGGTTCCCAACCCTAACGGATACTGACAGGCTGTCAGGAGAGGGGGAGAGAGGGCTTCTGCTCATTTCTCCCGTGTTATTATCCAAAGTTAATGTAAACTTGAATAATGTACTTCATTTGAAAGTAATAATTATGTTGGTTGTTGTTTGTGGAAGCGCCAGTGAATGAGCCCCATTAACTGAGTTTTAAACATCACTTTAAATGGAAGATCCCCATAGGCCCCGCCCACTCGATCGGATCGGTATCGGCCGATACTGATTCCGGCGATCGTCGACCCCAAAATTGGCGATCGGAGCATCCCTAGTTATCAGCAGGGGGACCTTAGGGTTAGTGGAAACGTTTGAACACATTATGATCTCCCGTTAGCAGCTTCAGTGACAAACACTGAAGTAAAAAGGGAATAAGCCACATCAATCTGGAGTAGAAAAGGGGTAAAAAGTAGGAGCTCAGCAGCTGGAGAACGTGCAGGATTTTCCACTTTGCTAAGAGATACAGGAGATGAAGACATTAACACTTTTGCTTGTGTTATAAATGTTGTGTGTGAGTGTCTTTGTGATTGCGCTGATACATCTTTTCATCTGTGTTTTGTGTTGGCTTGCAGCTCACCTGTATCTGTTTGAGCACTTTGGATATGGGTTTACAGTTGAGTTTCTGACAGGCTTGTTTGTAGGAAGAGAGGATCTCCTCCACCGTCACATTCTGAGCTGCAAAACATGGAAACATAGAAAACAAGTTAGGATTGCTTTTATTGCTTTGTTTATTTGAGAAAACAACCCACACTCACACGAGAATCAGTGGAAATGTTACGAAAGTGTGAGGTTAGTATATTAATATATTAAGCTACACAGTGCTTGCATGCATTAAAGTTAATAACTCAATTTAACTATGTTTGACAGCTTAAGAGTCAGCTTTCTTTAATAATATGGGGACTTTACAAGCACCAAGGTTGCAATATGACCCTGTAATACATTTTTTATTCTCACATCACTTACTGCTGCATGTTTTCTTATCATCAGTTTAACTGGTACTTATTTATTTGTGCGCTCTGCAGTTCACATCCCGTGCAAACAGTACACCCCATATCAATAACAAAATCTGAAAACAAACGAAGCATCTGAAATGGACTGTGTTTCAGCTCTGGAGCTTATCCTGCAGATCAACCCCCCTGACTCTTGCATATGATCAACATTATGAAGTCTAGGACTGCAACACAAAATGGTCCTGGGAGCACTCTCTTAAGGGCTCCCCTACTTAAGTAAGCAAAGGAGGTATTGTTCTTGGTGTGTGAGTGGGTCAGCTGGCGCTGCCTTCCCAGACTGTTGCAGGGCTAACTCCAGTCAGATGACTGGGAAACATTCAGCCCCACTGTTCTGGCTGAGAGACTCTGCTGGGAAATGAAGTGAGGCACTTGGGGAGAGAAATATAACGAAAGAATCAAAGAAGAAAGAAGGGAAACATCAGTGGTAGGGTGGGGTCAGGGTTGCTGTGAAACTCACAGCCGAGGCAGCGCACCACCTTCACCACAGGCCTTTCCCAGCCGACCTATAGCAACGCAAAACTGAACAGAAATGTGCTCACAGGGAAAGGATCCTGAAAACCGCGCTCAGACATCTACCCTTACAATTTAGAAGTTTAAGTTCTTCATACAAGGCTAATTATGAGGCTGGTACAAGCCCACCTAAGACAGTAGGTCATTTATAAAACCAGGCAGCAAAAAAGTTGACATTGCGCAGCCTGGGACGTTACTATTGCGCATGCACACATCGCAAAGCCATCGCTGAAACGATAAATCGTGCAGCCCGAGTCAGTACATCAAATTACATTAACACAAATGGGATGCTATACATTATCCCAGACCTAGTTTAAGCTGTGAATAAGGACAGTTTAAGAAATTCAGGTAAGCAGTACATGCTGACAGACAGACACTGTCCTATGCTTAGACTGTACTACAGTACTGTAGGGCTAGTGTGTGTGTGAATCTGACTTTTGCAGCAGTCAGCATTTTGGATCCTCTCACCAAGGTGACAATTTGTCCGCTCCACTTTCAGTTGCCTCCATCTCATCTCCAACAGTGCCCTCCGTCAGTTTCACACAAGTTCATCACCCACCCATCTGCACCAGGTAGTGGCAGAACAGACTGTACATTTGGATGGTTGCATCTATAAGTCTTTATGTTTGTCTATTTTGTCTGTAAGTTTATATGGTGGAACGAAGAGGCAGTTCTGCATGAGCAGCCACTCATGTCTGATCAACTGAGTTATAAATTCAGCATCTCTATTAACCGCACGTCAGACTGTGGATGAAAATACTACGAGAGATGATTCTGCAGTGGTGGTGTAAGCGTAAATGTGACTTAATGTAATTAAAGGGCGAGTCAGTGCCACATGAATGAGATGAGAACAGCCACATCAACTCCTCCAGTTGCTTTGAGACCAGGACCAAAGAGCCACTCAAATGGAAACCAGTCTTGTTTTGCAGCAGGAGTTTGCTCTTACCGAGTGTACACAAACATAAAAACACAATTAACAGGTTACATGAGGACATGGTGACTGCTGCGTTCAGTGACAAGATATATTAAATGATGCAGGTTCAGGACTGAAATATGATTCGACTGTCTGCCTCAGGTTTGAAAAAGGATACTTTTTGAAACCTGTTAATTACTTGCTGTGGTGGTTTTAATAATAAGGTTTTCTGAAATGTGAGCAAGCTTCCAGGATTTTGTTGGAAGCAAATGCAGTACTTAACTCCTGAAACTCTGTTGCAATCAAGTGCCACTTCATTTACCCGAATATGTGCTTCTCTCTAAAAAGAGGATTCTGGACACAGTACTGTAGATTTAACATAAAGGCCTCTCCTAACACGGTGTGAGAGTGCAGTCTTGTAAATGTGTGCAGAACAGTGAGTGTGTTCCAGTGAACACTGTGTCCTTGGAAAAGTGTTATTGTGCAGAGTCGCTGTGTGTGTGTAAACATTTCCTGAGGGAAGGGTGGGGGGTAAAGGGTGGGGAGGGTCCGATGCCTACTCCACAGTATTTTTTCATTAATTAGAGAAAGAGAAGGGAAAATAATAAATAAAAAGCTTCTACATGGTCTAATCTATCATTACTGTGCCTAAAAGCAATGCAAGCAGTGAAAGAAGACTGAGATTTAACAACTCGGCATAGGAAATGGTGAAAAAGAGACAGAAAAAAATAAACTGAGGAGTCAAACGCTTTGTGTTAAACAGAGAGCTTCTGCCCTGCAGGCTCATTAAGAGCTGAGCTACAGCTGTTGCTCTGCATTTCTGCTTGCTTTGTCTTGGTTTTATTGCACTCCCACCAGTGCTACTAGTACATGTATGGAGGGAGTGGTGGTGAGGAGGTACGTAATAGGGGGGGAGGGAGGGGAAAACACTGCTCCAAACAACATCTTTGAAAAATCCGGTTGAGAGGTAGCAGAGAAGTAACGTTTGATTCCAACGAGTGTACAAAGAATCACTAAATACACCTCTTCCTTTGAGAGACAAGACTACCAAGATAAACCAACCAGTTTAGGAGCAGAGTTCAGCTGCAAATCCTCACACTTTACATCAATTAGCTCGGACTATCCCTTCGAGAAAACCAAACCTGCTCTTCATGTTGTGCTGAAAGGGAAGGGCAGCTGCTGTAAGAACACTTTGGATTAAGATTTCAGGCCAAAGAGACAAATGAGTGAAGGGAACGTGTCCATCTCGTCTCTGACTCAGTGAATCTGCTAAATGACACAACGTAGCAGCTCTCTCTCCTTGTTGTTGTTGATGGCCCCTGTCCACTGTGCAACAACACACACTAAATCACTTGCTGCTACCATCGCTGATCTTGTGAGGGAAAAAAACAAACAAACATAAAAACAAACGGTTCCCTGCAACAACAGCATCTAGCTCGTTGACTCGGATCAACAGAGGTACATTTAGCGCAGTGGGCTTTATGGAAAAGATAAGAAATATGATTAACGAGGTTCTGACCGTTATCTCAGCCTTTAGTGGAGCAGACATTTTGAACAAGGGATCAACAGCAGGATGGAGTTACTTATGGCGCATTTCCACTGCAGGGCCTCGCACGGCTTAGTACGGTGTAGTTAGGCCTTGGTAGGCCAGGCTCACTTTATGTTGCGTTTCCATTACAGTTTAGGAACTGGGGTAGTAACTATAGTAACGCAGTGTAGGCGGAGCCGTGACCTCATCTTCAATGCCAACATCAGCCGTTAGCTGTTAGCACTCAGAGTTCCTCATATCTGTTCAGAAACTAGACAAAAGTTAAACAAGTAAAAACCACAGACTGTCTGTGTCATGGCGAATACAGTCGCTGGTTTATTTAAGTCTGTATAGGCCGTTGTTGTGAGTGTGGACGGTCGGAGCATATACAACATTAGCTTAGCCGATCTCCATTTAGAAAACACGCATTAAAAAAGGTTTTCGCCTTCCGTCTGTCTGCAGCAGAGGTCGCGTTAACCGAATATTTTCCGTCTATGACGGATTTTTTTTAACAATGACGGAGAAATCTGAAAGCAGTCTGTCATTTTGACGGATTAGAACAAACTCGGAACAGCTCCAAAGTTTCCTCGCAGCGAGGCTCCGGTGTTATGCATGCCTGCCAAAAAGGAAATTATACCGTTTCCAACTTTGCCATACAAATCATTGAAACGTCTGTGAGTTTTGGCTTTACGCTGTGCGCACTCCCGCGAGGTGCAGTGGGCATGCATAACACGGCGCTAACAGTTCACGAGCGTGCGCCCTGCGCCCCGCCCCCCGTTGACAGTTTCACGACCGTGCTCTTCCTCCCCCCGACGGGTAATACTGAATTTTGACGGAAATGTTACGATTCTGTCCGTCAAAATGACGGGCAGCGAAAAAAATCTAGTGCAACCTCTGGTCTGCAGACTTGTCAAAGCATTAATTCATGGTTTTTACTAACCGGTATCAGTATGTTGTTACTTCGGCATCATTTTGAAACGTGTATTACAATTAAATCACAGTCAAATATGTTCATTTTGTTGTTGTTGCCAGCAATTCTCTCACTAGTTTAGCATATTCAGCCCGGTTGTTAGCCCGGAAAGAACCTCGATTTTGGAGAGCCAGAAAAACTGTGAAAAAGTACCCGCTAAAAAACGGGCCGGGCACGGCACGCTTAAACGGCGCTGTAGTGGAAATGCGCCATTACTGTATTTGACACGATGTGGACATGTTTTCTGGTAGTTCAATATATAAATAAACACATGGTGACTGCTATTTTTGTAGTATTTCTCATGTGAATAGGTACTTTAGTCCAAAGTTGACATGCATACCCACAAAGGCAGAGAACCAGATTATGACAATAGTTTGACTCAAAATGTATGTGATATTTAAGTAAGAGTGTAAATGTTAGTAGCGGTTAAGACGATGTTAACAGGCATCATCCTATCTGGATTTTATCCCTATACAATTCCACCATGGAAATAAACTAGATGAACATCTGCCATAAATGAAATCACTTATTTAAGCTGAACAAGCGGCAAAGCTGCAACAAGTAGAGACACATTATGTAAAGAGAGAGAAGGTCAAAGCTTTCTAAAGAACAGTTTTACAGTTAGGCACTGAATGTTTGCGGATATTCAGTTACCTGAAACCTGCTACTTCACGTCCACACCTTACTTACACTTGAGCTAAGAACAACAAGGTGAGGTCAAGGTCTTCAGTGAAAAAAAAACAC